TTTTCTCAACATATGATAACCGCTCCTCGTGGAACTCGTCCCTAAAAGAGGGAGTAATGTCACGGACATAATCATGTAAGCTAGTAATTATATATACAAATAGGTAGAAGTAAGTAAAAGTAGATAAAAGTAAATTAATTCTATAGTATTTAATATGGAAGCTTCCTAGAAGCTTCATAGACGTTGCTTTGACTTCATAGGTGTCTTTAATTGACTTTTTGGATTAGAAACGTGGTCAACAAGTTGGCCATGTGCCACATATGTTGTTAGCTTGAAGATCAAGCTAACTATGTGGCCCACACGTAGAAAAACTTGTCTTGTAAGTCAAGGCATGTGTCCTACAAAGTCAACACATATTGGAGGTCCTATAGAACGTCGCCATGTAGCCCCTAATTAGATAGTATATATAGAGACAAGAGTGAAGGCTTCTTCACTCTTATCAACTCCTTTCTTGCTTCTAGTCTAGTTCTCAGGGTCTCTAGTTTTCTTGTCTTTTGGCAATAGCCATTCCAGTTTCTCTTTCAATATATATACTTGTTTATATATATTTTGTTACCTCTCTTTGAGTAAAGGCTCACTTGTCTGAATTATTTTTTCATCGAGTTCTTGTCCTTGACACATATGATAATTACTTCTTGTAGAACTCATCCATAAAAAAGGAGATTATATCATGGACATAAATTTTTATTCTAATATTTATCTATTTGATTTTATACAAGTAAATAAAAGTAGATAGATTTTTGATAGTATTTTTTGAGAAAAGCTTCATAGAAGCTTTATAGACATTGCCTTGACTTTATATGTATTTGTAGTTGATTTATAGATTAAAAACTTAGTCAACAAGTTAACCACATGTTAGTAGCTTACAAAATAAGCTAACTATATGGTATATATATAAAAAAAATTACCTTACAAGTTAAGATATGTGACTTACATAGTCAACACATTTTGGAGGTCTTATAAGACATTGCCACATAACTTTTTGTTACAAGTATATATAGAGGCAAGAATGAAGCCTTCTTTATCCTTGTTAATGCTTTTCTAGTTGTTAGTCTTATTTCAAGTCTTTCTAAATCTTCTTGTCTTTGACAATAGTCATTCTAGTTTAATACTATATCATCTTTGAGTGATTTTCTAGTCTTTTCGAGTGACATAAGAGTGTATTGACATTTTAATTCTTTGAGGTTCATGTGCTTGACAGTAATCTTAAAAATATCAAATGTTGATTTCAAATTATTTGGTTTTGTAAAAATATTATGTTTGAACCCTCTATCTTTATCACTTTGTTAAACTAGCATTAGAATTTTCTTATGACATAGATTATATCAAATCCTAATTGTTACACCATATTGTTTGTTGTTGCAACTTTGTTAAACTAGCATTAGAATTTTTTTATGACATAGATTGTATCAAATCCTAATTATTACACCATGTTGTTTGTTGTTGCAGTTGTTGGTCTTCTGCTTTCTTTTCTTGAAACTTAGATTGGTGGAAGAATTTTTTTTCAATATAAAATATTAAATACAGTTGAAGAAATCATGATACATATACATATACACACATTCATATCAACATCCAAATGATATATTTAAAATTTTAATATAAAATAAATTAAAAAAATATATTTAAAAGATTTTAATAATAATGATACCATTTAAAATCACATACCAAGTTTTGTGATCAAAATGTATTCTTTCCATTTAAATGCAATAGTCAACACATAATTAAGAAAATAATTGAAATTGTAAATTAAAAGAATAGATTTATAGGTCCAAGTGTTATTCCTTGATGGATCCACTACTTGAATTTCAACATGAAGTGGGACACTTTATCATTTAGGACTAATTTGTACTTTTAAAAAATATAATCCAAATATTTTAGTTATATAACTCAGTGGATTTTGTAAAAAAAATATAGGTCATGGAACAAAATAGCAGAAGTTTGTATGTTGAATAAACATAAAATAAAATAAAATAAAATAACACTTATTCACACACACAACAAGTCGTTCAATTGAAGTTTTGAATCAACGTTTGATAAGGATTTTTTAATACTGTGAGCAGGAAAATATATCTTCTGTAATAGTGTTGTCATATAAAGCTTATATTTTTTATTTTGCCTATATTAATTTTTTTGAAGAAATTTCTAGTAAATATTAACCAAGATTAAAATAAATATGTATTTTCAAAATTTAGTCATTAAAAACTTTAAATTTCTATTAATGAAGTTGAAATAAACTTTTGAAAAAATTCAAACATATACAACATATTTCTACAATAATTATTTGTTTCAAAAGCACATTCTTTATTCTTATGGATATGTATTATAAATGTAATAAAAGATGCTCAAATTTTGAAATTGATAAAATGTTTATAATTTATTGACAACATATATATATATATATATATATATTCATACACACATACATACATTCAACAACTTATCCATGATCTAGTGTTGTATTGATGGATGTGCCTAGGGAATAATAAGACTCTTTTCAATTTCTTGGACAACGATTAATCTTGTGACATTATAAATTATTTTTATTTCAAATTTAATGATCTTATTAATATAATATTAATAATGATAAATCTAATAATTATCAGAAACTCACAAAATAGACACATTGTTTACTATGATTACTACAAGTACCTGGAAGTAAAACTGTCACCATATTTGTCATATTGGAGAGCCTTCCAATTTCTGAAAGAAAGTTTAAATTTTAATGAAAAGAATATTGAAAATTACATAAATTAAAAAACACACTCATAAATATATGTAAAAATTAAGAAAATTTATAGGACAGCAATACAAATCATGCCTTTGAATTAAATTGGGTATTTGATTGTTTTAATGGAATTCATTTCATGATCATTATAGAATACATATGCCTTCTTTATCTTTCTTAATCTATGAACTCTTTGAAATAATGAATCTGAAGTTATAAATCAATGTAATATCAAAATACAACTATGATGTAAATACAATAATTTAACTTCTGTGTTATTTATTTCAAGTTATTTTATAATTTTATAAATAAAACGTGAAGATTTACAATGTATTTCTGACTTTATCTTTGAATTTAAAATTTCTGAATTAATATGATCATATCTAAAAATTAAAATTAAAAATAATTTTTTATTAATTAAATTGTGATTAGATACAAATTTAAAATATATATTTTATAATAATTTATTTTATAAATAGGATAATATTGAGGAAGAGGATATGAAAACAAAGAACTTTGAATCCATTCATCAATTTGATGACTTCTAACAAATGAAACTTAGCCTATCTATATGCATTAGAAGTCAAATGGCAATTAATCAAAGTATTTGCTTGAAAGACAACATTTCTTTGCTACAAGATTGGCAAAATTTACAAAAGAAGAAGAAGAAGAAAAGAACTATGACAATTGACACTTTACATATATATATATATATATATATATATTCATATATGAAATTTTCTTCTTTATTTAGTCGGAAAAATACAACCAAAGTTTTTTCTTGAACATTTAGATCATATCAAAGAATGTTTTTTCCCCTCACCCTTAAAAAAAATTATTATCATAATTATGCATTAACACAAATTTACAATAGGGGGTTTCAAACATGGCACGTTTGCAAAACCAAATGACTAGGATTCAACATCTGATATTTCTACAATCACTTGATCACTTGATATTACCCCTTTACATTACTCCATGATTCAAACTTTATAACCTCTTGGTATGGAGTCCAAGAGGGAAGAGAGCAAAGGTAAATGACATGATCTTTAATATTTGACCCCTCCACTTTTGATATTTCAATTTCAAAATCACCCACCTCACAAGGCAAGTGATTTGGTGAAGTATCAAGTCATATTTCAAAATATCACAGGATAGTTTAAGCAAATATCATAGGTGAAATATTACCCAAAAATACCATGTTTGAAACCCCTAATGAAAACATTTTATTATATCACTTTAAAAAATCTATTTAAAAAAAAAAAAAAAAAAAAAAAAAAAAAAAGTTACGACTGCGATTACAAACTTCACCCATGAATTAATGTCTTGTAATAAAACAAGTAGTCCAAGTAAACATTCCCCTGCACTATCTCAGTAAACACACCATAGAAAAGGATCCAAGTACAGTGGGATGAAATCAATGCAATATTTTGTATTTATTGCAGTAAAGAATGTTTCACTCATTTCTGTCCTTATTCTTCTTTGAAACATCAAAGATACTTTGAAAACCAAACTCAAGTAGCCTACATTCTCCAAGAAAAAGATCCACCTGCCCAAAAGTACATTTCTTTTCAAAACAAATAGGTCAAATGGACTATCATCTATGATGTCGTTGAACAATGCCATGCTCTGTAAAATAAAACAAAATAAATCAATCATCAATTAATCAATACCATGCACTTCATGTGTGCTGCTGTGCTACCACCACACATCAAACTAAAACAATAAAAAAAAACAAGTACACAAATCACGTTCATTAATTACACTTAAACAAAACTTTTTGAGCACGTTGGAGAATGGGTTCCTATGCTCTTTCATCCATGGATGAAAAATATTTGTTCATCCTCGTTTGCGTAGGAAAGCTGACGGTTACACGTGATTTCCCGAACCTGTGGTTTGGCTCCGCGTGGTGCCTTTCGACGGAAATTCGAAACGGATGAATGTCTCCAGACATTGCTGCCTTTGTTCATTCATCGGCGGTGTCCGAGCAGGCGGCGACCTTCCTTACACCTCTTCACAAGAAAAGGGGCCCGCTGAAAAGTTCGGGCAACTTTCCAAGACACTGGCACCGCCGGACTACGTCAGATCCATATTTTATGAGGACCTCATGTCTCGAAACCTAGATCCAAATAACGCACCTATTATGTAAATTATTTTGGGCAGTCGTTGTTGAGATTCGTCACATCTAGAGACATTCCCCAAGCGATCTTCAGGATTCGTAGACGGGGCGGGGGGCCTAAGCCCGTGAAGGCTGTGAAAGGGCCAGTCAGGTTTTCCTTCTTGTTCCCCTGCATTGATCGTTGACTCCGCAGTGAGAGGGCGAGCTCCAAGCTCGGCAACTCCTGGCGCAATTGAAACATAACTGAGGGAAGTTTTGCCGAATCGGTGACTGAGGACGGGCTGAGGGTGTGGCGATGCGGTACTGGGATGCAATTGGGTTAGACGGTGGGTAGTAGTGCGAAGGAAGGACGAGGAGGTTGGAGGATTTGCGGCAAACAATCCATTCTCTCTGCTGCGGTGGTTTCGGAAGAGGATTCGTTGTTTGCCTTCACGGCAGGTAGGCTTGGGATTTTCAAGCAGGTGCGATGTGGGAGTTTTAGGAATTTGGATATGACGTGCGGAGGGTGTTTTTGGTGGATTGTTGGTCGATCAGGCGAGAGTGGGACGATATTGGGGGTATGGTGACGGATTTATGTAGATGGTTGAGATGACTGAGAGTGAAAGAGGTGAATTAGTATCGATGCGGTTGAGATGGTTCCAGATTTGAGGGTTGTGTGGTGTGTACAGTTATCGTTGATTGTCTTGTTACGAGTAGGTGCCTGGAATTTGGTCAACAATGGCCGCGCGGTAACGGGAAAGAGATCAGAGTGAGGGTTTGGTTGGCTTTCCTCGTTCTTGGCCATAGTGATATTTGGGAGGTTCATGATGTGTAGTTTGAGTTGGTGTTGGATCTCGTGCCTTTGCTTTTTGGACAGTACCGAGTGCCTGGGAATGCGGATGGGAGGTAGGGTGTCTTATTTAATTGTACCGCTTACCGGAGTGTTTTAATCGGCAGGAGGGAGGAATGTTTTGGGAAACTTGCCGGCAGTCAAGCGCACGCTACTCAGATCGTTGGTTGAGGTCTGGATTGGGATGCCTTGAATATTAGCCCGTTTTTTCTTCTTATCTCTCTCTGTAAGGAAGGGTTCGGAGAGATTGCAACATATGCCTTCTTTTCATGCCGTAATGGCACTTCCTGCAATCGTGACCAGTACTTTCATGCTTTGGTCTTAGTTAGGCATTTTTGGTGTTGAATAGCCCACTTTATGAACCGAAGTCTCCAGATTTATCTTATCGTTTCCTGGTTGCGGCGAATGCTGGCGAAACCGTGATTTCTCACTGCTTTCACGGGAAAGTCAGTGTTGTTAGTTTGAGAAATAGCTGTACAGAAACGGACTTGTCTTTCCCTCTATTTAACGGTATTGTTTAAAACATTCAAAAGTTTATCTGAGACCACACAACAGGAGATTGTATTTTTGACGATTGTAGTGGCAGTGATAGCTTATGAGAGAGTTTGGCATTTCGTCCTCACTAGGTCCTCCTATCGATAAGGACGAGCTTTTTACAACTTTGCACTAGATCCCGGTATTTTCATTTTGGATACACGTTACTTTGTTAGTATGTGTCCATCGTACTCGTGATGGAAGCAATACTGGTCGTAGAATAGGTTTGGATGGATCGCGATGAAGAGTGTGTTTTTGCAATTTTTTTCCAAACGTAAATCCTTAATTCAGGCTGGTCTGCAAGCAATAGGAGGATAAAGACTGCGATGAGTCTCCTTTTTGGGAGCTTTAGGGGCCAACCTATTTGTGTCACAATTTTTTTTTTCCTTCTTGTTATGTATGTTTTTTGGGTACAGTTTCTGTATCGGGGCTCTCTTCTTGGTGAAGAAATTGATCAATATTTGATTTTCTATAAGCTGTTTCAATGCTGTTATGAGACTAGAGAACATCATCTCGATTTTCGCTTCGCGAATTAACTTGACTCTCGTTATTTCGACTGACTTGTAACAATTTATGTTGTTTAACGGTTCGACATGCTAATTCATTGTTTTCCTTCGATATCACAGTGTGAAGTGGATTGCCAGGAAGACATTTTCCACGAGGCCACACTTGACAAAAGTGCTATCGATAAATTCCGAGGGATCTGCTACCGAGGTAATTCCACATCTTTGTGTGCACCCATGCAGTGGACGATGCTGTTTCCTTATATGGCAGCAGCAATCCACCCCTCACGCTAATGACTTACCTTTTTGGGTTGATGTATCTTCTACTTTGTGTACCAGGGCGTCTTCAAAGGAGCACCCACTGGGATGTGTGCTCCAGCTCTGGCACGAGCTTAGTGCAGAAAAGATGGATGCTACTGCTGTTAAACCAAAGTACTATCTATGGGGAAAATCCGCCGTGATGGAGACTGCTGCGGATATGTTGCTTGGCATGGTGCCTATCTGGGTGGCGGTTGCAGTTGGTCTACTAGTTGGTTGGTCGTGGAAACCTCAATGGGCTAGTATTTTATTAATGGGCATTAAAAGCCGCCCTCGATTGATTTGGGGAACTCCTCCTGGGTTTGGAGCTCGTCGATTCTGGTTGGCTATCATGGCAGTGTCAGCTTTTCCGATGTGGAAGGAGGCGTGGAAATCGTTCAGTGCGTGGATGTGGCCGACTCCTGATGTCTTGATTGTGCCTGCTGATTTCTCAAGTGGCGTTGTTGGTCCTTGGTAAGGATGTGTATTACTTTTCTCTCCTATGTGATTTTCGTGCACAGCGTTTTTGGAGATTTGGTCTCCTTGGGGTTGCCATGACTTACCAGAATGACGGTTGATGTGCAGTGAACCTGTCAAAGAGGAGATCAAGCAAGATGTGGTGTCGACTGATGATTTACTTAAGCTTATGAATCTCATGGATGGCAAAGATGGAGGTCCTGAATGGCAGATGTTTTTAGACAAGTCTATTTCTGATCTAAAGTATCAAGCATGGCGTCGCGATCCTGAAGTGAGTGAATTGCACGTTGGATGCTGAATTTGTTATTTCGATTGTAATTACACTTGTTATTATGATTGCTCTCTCGGTGATGTTAATATTTCCTGAAAATTCTCAGGATGATGGACCAACTGAGTATAAAACCCGAACTGTAGTTGAAGATATGTCCCCGGAAGCCATGCGAGACTTCTTCTGGGATGATGAGTTCAGGCGTCACTGGGATGAAATGCTAAGCTACACTAAAACCTGGGAGGCATGCGAAGAGACCGGCTTTATGATAGTTCAGTGGGTGAGGAAGGTAAGAGTCTTCTGCATGCTCCGAAGTAGGTTCTGCTGTAATATCTTAGGTATCAACTTGAGTTCTTCATTTTAGTGGGAATTGTGTGGTGGAATCAATGTTAATTTGGAACTCTCTTTTTCTATGGAGCATATGTTAATTTGGAACTGAAACGTGCATGCCAGTTCCCTATCCTATGGAAGGACCGCGAGTATGTCATCGCTCGACGTATGTGGGAGTCCAACAACACCTACTACGCTGTGACTAAGGTGAAATTTTTGGTTGCGTAAATGCTCTTGAAATTCTGCAGGTGCTTCTGAGTTGCTATCAAATTCTATTTGAATACTTAGTTGGATCTTTCTGTCTTCGTTTGCAGGGAACACAGTACGCACCAATTCCTAAAAAGCTGTCCCCACGGAGAGTGGATACTTACTTTTCTAGTTGGACAGTACGTGCAGGTATGTTTCAAAGAAACAAATGTACTTGTCGCGCTAATCTGTGCCTCTGGAACTTGGAGTGAGCATTTGGTACTACTTATCAACAGATCCTACATTTGTGACGAGACGTTACTGAATATTTTAATAGCTCCCTTATTTGGGAAATAATTGCTGAATGATGCGGTGTTTGTTTGCAGTTGAGTCAGCAAGGGGCGACGGACAGATGACCGCCTGTGAAGTCTTATGTTTTCATTATGAGGATATGGGCATTCAGAGAGATCTTGCAAAGCTTGGGATTCGCCGGGGTATGTGGGGATGTGTGAAGAAAATGTCACCTGGAATAGACAAGTATAGGGCGGAGCGGAAGGCAAACATTCCTTTGTCGGCATCAACAAAGATGGCTCGAAAATGTTGTAAAGTCCCTCGTCATCTTCTTAGTGAGCCTGAATCATCGCAGACGAAGTCTATCGACTCTGAGAATGTCAAGGTTGTAAAAGACATAGACATTCACCATGGCAATAAGGGTTGTATGAAATGGATTATATTAGGGGGTGCTGTTGCTCTGGCCTGTAGCATCGATAGAGGTGCCGTGGGCAAATTTCTTGTTTTTGGAGTTGCAAAGCGCCTAGGTAGAGTGGGACGAAGGTTGTAGCATAGGTTAGTGTACCAAAGTAGAATGCCCGGGTTCGCCTTTGTCCCCACGCGAACGTGAATGGATTAGATGGTACCCTTCAGTTGCATTTGAAATCTGTATTTTATGATAGATGTGGTTGATTCATTCTCAGCGTTGGAAGTTGGCAGTTTTATGGAACCCTGCCTCCTACGTCGGTTTTTTTCCTACCTCTTAAAGGAAAGCTTGCTGTGTCGAGGGATAGTTTTAATCTGAAGGTAACACTCCGTTGTATTGAATATTTCGATTTGGTGCTCTCTTTTTGTTTATGCCGTTCTGGTTAAGCCTCGGTTGATTGTTGAACTTTGCGGTGTGATTCCTCGACTCTAATCTATAGGTATTTTAAAATGTATAATTATGTAGAGGCTTACGTTAAGTTGGTTCGTATCAGATGCTGCATGAAGGATTGGTTTCTGTGCTGAACGTTTTTTTTTCTTTCATTCTTTCATTCTTTCATTCTTTCTTTCTTTCTTTCTTTTCCTTCATTTCCAGTATCACCCTGCATTTTTTTAACATCATTTTGTACCAAGTCTCGCTCCACCCCCATTGCGGTAAAGGGCTGATATGATAACTAGTTGGATCACTTCGTAGGATTTAGGCAGGTGTCTTGTCTCCACCACATCATCTCCACCACATGAGTAAGAGTGTTTTATTCAAAGGAGGCCATACCGGTGTTGACAAATTGCAGAGTTTTCAGCAGCAGATTCAATCTCAGACTTTTGGTTTTTATAACTAAAAACATGAATGATTTGTATATAAAAATTCACATGTTTTGAATTTAAGATGTGTATTAATTTAAAGTATGATATATTCCCAAAAACTTCATCATTCATTGTTTTAAAGTTTTTGTTTGAATAAACAATGTAAATATAGATTTAGGAGCATAACATAAGGTCAGATGTCTATCAATTTTTATTTGTATATTATGGTTGATTTTGTATGTGTTTTGTGTGATCTCTTTATTAATTTTCAATGATACTTCAAACAAAAAAATTAATATTTTTTATTCTTTTTGTTTCGTATAGCAGTTCTGTACAGCAATCAGAGTAAGATTTTCCAACTAGTTTTGTTGATTTTGATTTGAGATAGTAGACACTACAAATATCTCCCTAGATGGGTTACATCGTATATATCCGTTGTACCAGAGATACCCTAAAATAAGGTTTAAAGCTAAATTTTAATCTTAAATTTTTATAATTACACATCCTTGAATACTGTTCACTATTACAACTGGTACGACTCCAGAACCCCATTTCCTAATCACAATATAAATAAAAACTCCAGGTAAAACAACAAATCAACATTAAAAAACACACAAACAATAGAGGACCTTTCTCGAGCACATTCGGCGTATGGAACCGTCGACCAGAGAAGACACTGTTCACACTGACTCGGTGGGAGAGGCGTGTCGCCGGAGGGGTACTCCCTCCGCGGCCTCGCACGTCTCGACTCCCGCAGACGAGGCTGAGGCTGAGGCCGAGGCCATGGCCATGGCACAGGCAATGGTACCGCGCAGCACTTCAATTAGGGTTTGAATCGCTAACTCGACGAGCTGCGCTCGCACTTGCGGAACCGATGCTCTCCTTGCGAGTCCATGTGCATCGCTGATTTGAACCTGATCCGTGTTTTCCTCCTGGCGCAGCAGCAGAGAGAGAGAGAGAGAGAGCTGACTCATGTCGCAATGTGTAGCATTGCCGTGTTGTTGAGGGCGTGACCTAACTGCCAATTGCGAGTGAGAGAGATTTGTGCGGTGATTGCTCGTCAGCCATGGCTGACGATGATAGTGAATGGAACCGGGATCGCGCTAGCGCTGAATCCTGCTTCGTTAGTGACTGTGTTGTCTTTTATCCTTCTGCTTTGCGACATGTAGTGAGGTTTATTCCCGTTGCATGGTGAGCAATCTGGAGACGGAGGGTACGCATTGTGCTGCTCGTTTGCATGCAGTCGCATTGATTTCCTGTTGTGCGTCTTTTCTTCCTCTTCTATCCCTGTGTAGCTGGTGGCGGGATCAATTTGATGTGCATGCAAATGAGAAAATGATGTAGCGATTACGATCCCTAGGTCCTTTGCTCCCGATCACGTGCTGCTACTACGTTCATTGTCGTTCGTCAAGGGAGAGAATTCCTGTCCTCCGCGGCCTCCTTCCACTTTGGATTCTGCAGCGGCACCCAATATATATATATATATATATATATATATTTATATTTATATACCTCGCATTGTGCTTTTCTTCGTGGGAGTCTGCTTTCATCTGCGATTCGCACTGTCCTTATTCTTATTGTTTAGGTGATTTGGCCTTATCTCTTCTTTTCATTTCCTAAACCCCTCACATCTTTCTAAACCTTTTCGTGAAATTTAGTTTCTGGATTATCAGGAATAATTCGTGATGTCATTGATGAAGAGTACCCGATTATGTGAGGTTCTTGGACATTTGGACAGTTATGCCTCCTGACGTTCATCGGATACACTAGCTTCTGCGCACATCGCATTTGAATTATATACTTTACTTTGCTAACTTTAATATTTTCCATTTGCAGAAGTAAAAGAGACTGGAGGAACACCAACTACTACCTTCATCTCATATTCTTCTATTGACTTGACTCTACTTTCCGCGATGCCGCACTTACGTAGTGAATATGCTGATATAACTATGCCTTCTCCTGAATTCTCTCTGCGAGACAAAAAGTGTCTTCATCATTCAGCGCTACAACACGTTGGGTGTGATTTCATCCAGGCAGAAAGTGCGACACCCCTAGTTGCTTCAAGAACTCGTCCTTTAAAGAAAGTGTCCTCTACAGATTCTCCTGTATCTTTAGGAAAACCTCCACCTGTGCCCAAAAGTATTCCTAGAGATCCCGTTCCGCAAGGTGGGAGAGGCGCAGGTTGGCCCTACGCTCCGCAGGGTTGGCCGAAATCTGATGACAAATGGGGTTGGAGAGTGGGCAAGCGAGTAGATGGTAATTCGCTATGGATCGATAGACACATTATGCTACCAATGAGTCTCTTGAAAGGTAGAAAACCTGGGAAGCCCGTTGAATTCGCCAGTCGAAAGCGTCTTTTGGAATATTTTAAGCAAAATTTCCCTCAAATTGGCCCTGACAGCATTTGCAAAGCGTTCGACTGGAAGATTCCTGCTTTGAAGGGTACTGAAATTAAAGAAGGTAACGTTCACTGCTCCCTGTGTCTTTTCTGTTGTCAGATTTTTATATGTAATTAGTATGGTAATGTCATGGTGAGAATGTGGTAATGTTTTTGGTAGGATCGTCCAATGCAAACACCAAAACCTCTTGGAGAGAAGGGTTTCAGTGTTAGACTATATGTCAATAAAGTAATTCAAAGCGTACTAGAGTCTAAAACTACCAGCTTATTGGCTTTTTTCTGGTGAGCATATTATCCGAAATCAAATCGGTAGAGCGTAATTCCTGCTTGAATTGTTCATATTTGATGGTTTTTTCGGAAATAGAGTAGCCGTTGATCAGTGTCCTACTGCTGTGACTGGTAATTCTAGCTACTAATAAGCGAGGGTGGACCACCAACCGAGACAAACCACCATCCCTGTACGAGGACGATGGTTGCCAGAAGTTGAAGAAACGATGTCGGGCAGGTAATCCAGATTGCCTCCTTGAACAGGGAAAGGGTGATGTGCCAAAACCGTTACAGAACTTGGCATGTCGCATCTGCTGCTCTGAGCCTAGCTTCTGCCGTGAGTGTAAGTGTATACTTTGTTGCGGATCTTTTCTGGCAGATGCTGACGGAATCAGCATCATTAGGTGTCTGAACTCTCCCGTATCAGGACACGGCATATGTGGCCATGCATCTCATCTCGAGTGTGCACTGAATTCTCAGTTAGCTGGGTCCATCAAGAAGAGCGGGCTGGACATGGAATATATGTGCCGACGCTGTGACAGGAAGACAGATTTAAGACGGACTTTTTCCCGTTTGATTGGGGTTATGAATAAAACTGCTACACAGTCCAAGGTCGAAAATAGTCTCCAGCTTGCGTTGCGAATAGTACAAGATCCAGAGGATATTTCAAGCAGACCTGGGAAGATTTTGGCGACATGTGCGGGAGATGCTCTCAGGAAGGTGACTAACCGCATTCCTTATTTCAATTGTGTGTTTTTCATAAATTTGTCACCAATAAATTATAGGTGGTCTTTTCAAACTTCAGAAAGTGCATTTACTTGCAATTGTGAAATTCAATTCTTAGGAAATTTATGTTTTCGAATAATTAATCAATTAGTTGATGTTGTAGTGGTAGTGTGAACCACTCGAAGATTGCTCAGAAAATATTAGATGTTCACTAGGGTTCAAGTAATATTATCAATGAGTTAGTTAAATTCGTCTTGGTACAGTTCTTACTGTATAGAGTACTAAGCTTAAGTTTAGATTTTTGGCAACTGGTTAAGCCCGTAGAATTAGTACATTCAAAAGCCAAGAGCATCCAGTAGGTGTTACGAATCTGAGATGTTGGCCACCTTGCACTTATGTATTTTGATTTAACATCTTTGTTGTCCGACTTAGCAGGAACTACTAGGAGTTGATGTTGGCGAAATTTACAAAGTATTGACTCAGCAACTCCTTTGGCTTCGATCAGGTGATTCCTCATGAAAAACTTCGCAGTTTATATCAGGTTTGAAGTTTAGTGTCTAGGCTCTAATGGTTATTTGCCAGATTAATGAGGCTGGCTGAGGGGTATAACTCGGGCTAATGGTGCTTCAGGACAAGGGGTTTATGGTAGTCAAGTGTCACATCAAGTTTTAAACTGGTGAGTGAACGTCCAACTATGTGGTATGCTTATTACCACATTTTTATGAATAACGTAGTTGTGCTGGTTTAAAAAGCCTTAATGACTCTTTGATGAAATGTTCTTCCAATCTTAGCATATGAACGCACAGAGTGATTAAAACTGTCACATAATGAATTAGAACCTAGGGGTATGTGCGTGAACCCTTTTCCTTGGACTAGCGGCGATCTGTGGGGTCCAAATCAAAGTAAATTGCATATTTGCTTATACATCAGTCCTTTATGAGGGAGCTGCTTAATTAAAATTGATACGGTATGGAATGCCTGTGTCCAATATCTATCAGCATGCTCTTTTATTATACAAGTCTCATTCATGCAGACACAAAGTGTTATTGGGACCTGGATTACTAGTGTGTAATTGATCTGTTAAATTTTTTTCATCTTCTACTTCTACAGTCCTAAAAATTGATTATGTTACTAACCACTCAGGAAGGTCTGGAGCAATGAGACGAAAATTTTCGCCGGAGGACTCACTGCACCCTACAGAGATCAGTTTGGACAAATTTCTTTCTCAATCCAAGTCAAAGGATTCTCACGATGCTCCGGGCACTCTCTCCAACCCCACGTCTCATCCTCATGTTCAAGGTATGGCTGATGTCAGCGCTCAACAAGATGGTTCGAATGACGTTCTCTCTCTCGTAAAGATGCCAATCAATGCCCTGAGTGTGTTGCAAGGAAATCCTGAGGCAGATGGAATCGCTATCACTAGTGGCTTGATGGTTCAGCACGTTGTCAATGCGGACAAGGAATTGCCAGGCACTTCATTTCAGAGTCCTCCAAAACTAGAGGATCGAATCATATTCAAGGCAGCATCACAAACTTCCCATGTTTTATTACATACACCGGAACTATCAATAGTGATAAACCAATGTGTAAGTAAACCTCCCACCCTGACCATAGAGGAGCACATCAGGCAGTGTGAAGCCATGGCAGACAGGATGAAGGGTGCCTCAAAGCTTGACAGTCCGCTCAATCTCCTTCCAGTAGCTACACCTCGTATACTGGAGGTCGTGCTGAATTCAGAACCTCCAACTTTAACGACTGATTCTCTGACTACTAGAATTCATGATGAACTGGTTCCAGCAAGTCAGGATGTTGTTCCTTCAGCTGAGGATTTACATCGCATAGGATCATTCTCTTGCGCTGCGGCGATGGAGGTTACATCCATCCCTTGTAACGTTAGCAGGGAGAGCCCAAGTGTGAGCGATTCGCAGGATGCCGACAGAGATAACGCTGCAAACACAGGAATCATGGAGGTGTCTATGACACAGCCGCCAAAGATATCTAGCTGTGTCCCAGTACTGGATTTACCTCATGCTGAAGGCTTGGAAGCAGAATATGAGAATCAGATCGCTCAGGCTTTGGAAAAGCTGAGGAAGGCCCTGGAAGCCGAGTATGCCTGTGCTGAGAAATCATTGCATGCACAGAAGAGAATAATTATTGAGAAATATCGGCAGCTTGGAAATATGTGTGGAGATGTTGCCAAGAGTGGGAGAGTCCAGGTATCTCCAGACCAATTCGTAAAGGATCTGTCCAAATCACGTGCACAGATTGACCGCGATATCAATCGTCTAGTAGATCAGTTCGGGAAGGCGCAGGAAGAACAAAGAATATTTGAATCCATGCTTGCCATTTCGAACGGCTTCGGTCAGGCTTCGAATGAATTTTTACGGGAATTCTTCAACTGGCCACTGAAGGGCAGTAACGAGGTTTAGGACTCTGCTTCCATAGAAAGATATTGTTCATCTTCATGGAGGTAGATTCGTAAAGCTGCCTCGAAATTGTGTGACCATTCTACAAGACGGTCTAGAATATGGTATAATGCAAGAGGTCCTGATGTGTATAAACCTAGAATCTTGGGCCTTGCCAGCTTGTCAATAGGCTTTTGGGTGTCCGAGGGGAAATTTTCCGAAAGATTTTAGATTAACAGAATTGGTGATCAGAAATTACTTTAGACAATGTGTTACAACAAATAATCGGTGTCGTCTTAACATTCTAAAATCTAGACCGTGGTTGTCTACGTGCATGTTCTGCTACAATCCTATTGCCTGCCCCTACCAGCTGTCAGGACCTTTGTTGTAGATGTTCAGATTATAGTCATACTGTACCTTTGGACTGCTAAGATGATGCTTGGTAATCGGTTTTTTTTCCACTGAAGTTTGAGATTTACACTTGCCTGTATTGGTTATTGTCGCAAATTTGAAGTTAATCTTCATTGCCATTACTCAATTGTTCTTGAGGGTGGCAAAGTGTCTATGTACACATGATCCGACCTTGTGAATGAAATAAGTAACCTCAGTTCCGGTAATCTCTACAGTTTTCTATAGTTTAGCAATATACTACGATAACTAGCTTGAAGGCACTGAACTGTGCTTCAGACAAAGAATGGATATGAAATATTAATCATGGGTTCGGAGGACAAGTGAGCAGGAGTTTCAAAATCGAGTCTGCGTGGTGGAGTGCATAGACAAGTGAATGATCCAGCGCTGCAGATGTTGTGTCGACGGATTTGATGACCGTTTCTAGTTCTGATGGCCAATTCAGCATGTCGAGGAGAGAATCAACAAACCCTGACATGACCGTGGTGTCCACGGCTTTCTGCAAAGCTTGCTCCAGTACCTCAGCCACGCTCTTAGCCTCCTCCAGAGCTTGCACTAAATCAGAGCCGAAGGCTGTTATGGCAGATTCCAGCACTCCCGTCACGGCATCCAACCACTGGATCACCATAGCTGAATGCGCACTAGTGCTGGGAAGCTGCTGCTGCAATGAGGATGGAGCATTGCTTACCGCGCTTGCGGCTTGTTGGATTGCAATGGCGGTCGGTGCTGCCTTCTGAAGGGAGCCTTGTGGCAATGGCACAGTATTCGTGAGGAGCGTAGATGTCGCCGACACGAACAGACCCTTTACCGTCGCAAGCTTCAACTTGGCTTCCACCAATAGACGCTTGGCTTGGGCTGCGTAGTAGGGGAACTTGAGCTGTGAGGTGATAATCGCTCCCTGGACGTGATCAGCCTCCTGTTTGGGTTTCTGTGTTTTAGGCACCGGTTCTGGTTTTTGAACTTGGGAATCTGAGTTTTTCGAGCTAGCTGTATCGTCCCGATGGCTGACCAACTGAGCGAAGATGCTGGTTACCAGGATCACCGATCCACCAACCATAGCCGAGCCATCGAGCGTTTCCCCCCGCAGAACGAAGGACAAGAACGCGCCCCATATGGGAATCGTTGTGTTAACCATTGTTGCCGTGGAGGCATGGACTGATCGAAGGCCGTGAATCTCAAGCCAGCTGCATAGTCCCGAGCATACAAGACCCGTGTATACGAGAGGTCCCCATGGCAGCGCCTGCAGCTGATTCACGTACTCTATGGCGGTTGTGTTGTCGTGGAGAACTCGGAAAACCTCCCATAACACGCTGAGTGACGCAACAGTGCTGCACTGAATCGCTGTCAACTCGAAGGATTTGAATCTCTTGCTGCATGCTTCGGATCGGAAGATGTGGAGGGCGTAGATGGCAGATGCGGCCAAGCCCCACATGTCTCCCACATGCGGTAGAGATATACCCTTCCATTCAAATCCTTCCTCTTCCAACACTCCCATTCCTGCAGTCGAATTCCAATTACGAAGCACACATGAGTGCTCGAGTAACTTCCACTTTGAACCGTAGACAGTTCACGTAAGGTGCCTAAAAAATGTAACAGTTTAGATCATTGATCGACGTACCTGAAAGTGCCACTAGAGAGGCGATTCGTGTAATGTTGCGGACGGACTGTCGGCCTGCGCATAGCTCCATCAAAGGAACAAATATTACCTGCAATTTCGGAATCATCACAAAGACACTGATCAGATCATGGATGTTTTGTTGATGTATTACAGATACTACAACAGTCGGTTTTTTTACATTGGAGAGGGTGAACTTAGCTACACCCCTATCCATGTTTTGATAATTGATGAGATATCAATGCGAGGGACGTGAAGTCAGTACCGTGAAAGCAAACAGAAGCGGCGCATCACTGGACGCTCCACCATCACCGCAAGTCTCAAGAATCCCAGCCGCAAATAGCAACCCTCCAAGCTCAGCTCCGGCTTTAATCAGCTCCGAATTCTTCTCTTTACCCACGATGCTCTTCAATGCTGGCAAAAACACTAGAAGCGCGGAGGCATATCTGACCATGGAGCTCAAGCTGGCTGGCAACCCAGGCGCCACCTCGGTCACAAACTTGCCAGCGACGGTGCTGGATCCATATAGAGCCGCCAGTATGTTCAGCAGCAACAAGCCCATCGTCTTCCTTCTCTCCAATCTCTTCGCCCCCAACTCAGCCAACTTACTAGACCTTTTCACTTCAGATCTATCTTCAACATCTTCCTCAAATATGATAGATGTTGTCGTAGGCTGAAACAACAACAACAACAACAACAACAGGGTCAATGTTTGTGTATCTATTCCGACAAAACAGCCAGCCACGGCCAACTCTATAACTCAGAATATCAATCTCACACACACACACACACACATATCTCATGATTTGTAAGCCAAACTTACAGGAAGTGACTGGTCCTCGGTTGATAATCCGGTCCCGGAGCTGATATTCCGAGAGTCGCATTCCCGCAAGCGTGCTGAGAGCTCTTTTAGAGCGGCCTTTTGACTTTGCATGTACAGTTTCCATGATTTTTCCCAGCAGTACACACTGTCGGACCCGCTCTCAGTTGCTTCGACTTGCGAGTGACCGCCGCCCGATTTGCGTTGCAGGACGAGATCCGAGTACGGGATCACGTATATTCGCTCCGCAACAGCATCAGTGACAGATCTGTCGATCGTGTGCTGATCGCGGTTTTCTGACTGTTGCGATAGGTTTTTTCTCTTGAGGCTCAAGCCTCGTGCATATGCTAGAGAACGGGGTTTTTTGTCGCTGCGAGACGTGTGGGAAGACTGGATGGACCATCGCTTAACATACGATCTCCTGTCATTGCTCTCTCGATGTGGGATGTTGGGGAATCCTAAGGACTGAGAGTTAAAATGGGCGCTTTGATCAGCACTGAGTCCGCGGTGTAGGGCAGGACTCCTGGTGAGCATTCTCTCAAGTGGTGCTTCCGCAACGACGACAATCGATGTCAAGCTGGTCCTCTCAACGCTACAGATGATTGCTACTGATCACTAGGGGTTTGCCCAAGTTCTAGAGAACAAACTACCACCTAGTTGCAAATCGATGGATCTGTAGATATATGTACCAAACTATGGCAGGACTCGGGTGATGCAACTGTGACAGATCAAAATCAACTCAATACCGTCCATAAGTTTCCTCGCCGAAAGCGACAGTATCCTCCTCCTTCTCACACCGACTAGAGGTAGATCGATCGATCAGGTTGTTTACAAAACGTAAACGCCTGGCACATCGCTGCAAACCAATTCACAGCTTCTTGCGCTCCTTCAGACCACATAGATCATTCACAAACAGTTGCCAAAGCCCCACCTGTTTCTTTCCAAACCTGGACACAGCAACTGAGCACCTACTGTGGCTCTTGAATCTTAAAATTGTTCACGATTAGATTCTCTCGTAATGGGCGCCAGCTTTCGAAGGTAGATGCAGGAGTGAAGGTGACCGTGTGCAGGGACTAGTGAGGCATTTAAGCGATTCGCAGCCGTGTCTGAGAAGCAAAAGCAATGACAGAAAAGCAGCGTGGGAAGCCCAACGTGAAGGACGGCGCTCTGAAGCTCCCAGAGCTCGTCTCCACATGGCGGCTCCGACAGCTTGGAGGCACGGCGGTGTGCGGAACAAAGCTCGGAAAAGGTGGCAACTCGCATTTCTCATTCCGTCGCAGCGCATATTCCAAATATTTCACTGGTGGTGAAGCTCCCCAGCTTTGACTCACGAGAAAGCGCCTTCCCGCGGCAATCGACGTGTAACAGATGGACTGTGACCGTCCGTTGTCAATTCCGATGGTGGACACAGTTTGTCATACTTTTGGCTCAAATCGCCGAAGGCCACTGAAAACCTACAACGAACGAGATTCACGACGGTGCCTAAAATTGCATCCTCCTCGAAGCTCACCGTTCGTGCTGGTGCAACTCTTCACTTTCTGGTTTCTCTAATCACCACAGGTTTCGCTGCGGCGATTTTTGTAGAGGGACATCAACCTCAGTCTTCCTAGAGTCAACCTCTACGCTTTCCAGTTTCCAGGTTCTTTCTTTTTCTTGCCTCTTTCTACAGGAAGACCTCAACCTACACATGCAAATGTGTATATATGCAAGGAGTTTCTTCTTTTACTTTTAACTTGTTTATCTTGATTAGTGTGGAGGTCTCGTCAAGTGATTCGTTATCAGGGCATGAAGAGCATTTGTGTTTTACTCAGAGGAAGTACTTGTTTGGCAGCTTGCAAAAGAGTGTTTTAGAACGGCTCTTACTGTAATGTTGTGGTCCATAGCAACACTGTACAACAAGATGTGCACCCTTAAAATGGTGGTACATTAACCCTTTTAAACATGGGAGTTATTCTGCTTATGTGGATGTACCATGCAATGTATTAAATAAGTAAATAAATAAATAAAAACTTAAAGTTTAATGTTACATGTTTAAAATAACTTTGTATTTTGCAACGATAGTGAGTCTGAAATGACAAAGTTTACTAGTTTATCTGTATAAAAAAAAACACATCTACTCAGTGGGAGAAAGGGAAATCAAGCAAGTTGGTGGAGGGCATCAACATTGGGCTCAAATTAAGGGAATAATTTTGACACATGGTAACCAATGACAGACTTGCAACCAGTGTTAATTATTGGGTGGCAGCAAAAGCAGCAAAAAGCAATATTCAAAGACTAAGGTAGAGCCACCCATTCCTCAGTTGTACTTTTCATGGGAACTGAAGGAGTTTTTCACCCCACGTTTTGTTTTTTGCAAAAAAAAAAACAGCTTTTGTGTCTGATTCTCTAAACAATCCAGTTTGCCATGTTTTTAAGTTCTAATGCTTTTTCAGAGACTTTTATACAAAAGAATTCCTGGAGAATTGTTACTACTTTTTCATATAAAAACATTCAATGTCTTTTGTAAGTTGTAATATGTATGAAACTTAGATATAACTAAAACAGCAGAAAAACACTTGGATTGCAATCAGATATGTATGTTAAAATATCACGTTAAACAACATACTCAATTCTATTGATAGTTGATTCCAGTGAAGTTCATCCAGTGCAGTTCATCCAGTGAAGTTCCAAATTGTTAAAGACCTGCAAGTGTAATGAAACCAGAAAAAAATAAAAAATAAAAAATAAAAAAAATGCATAGAAATTTTTTAAAAGCTCCGAAAAAAAGTGCATGCATGGAAATTTCTCATGCTGCAAAGAAGAAGAAAAGAGATGTGCTGGTGTCACTGGCTTCATGAGAACCATTGCTCTCACATGAGAATTGTAGCCTGGTGGCAAGCAATCCCATGCCAATCAATATCATTGAAATTGGAAATTATTTTAGCTAAAATAGAGGGGTGGGGACAAGGTGAGCTCTCAACCTCTGGAATTAAGGCATTGTCTTTTGTATGATGAGCTAGGAGCAGACTGAGGGCATATCTCTTCTAAAGTTGCTTTCCATGCAAGCATATGGTTTGTCCAACTTGGCCTGACTGAAGTGGTCATTTGTAGATATCAAAACATTAGAAAAGAAAAAAGAGAACTTGAATGCAGGATCTGAATATTCTCTGCAGAGCAAGTTTCATAAGTTAAAAGGATTTGTGAACAATATCTTGTGCTCTGATATCTCCCAACTCCAACAAGCATGTTTGAGTTGTTTGAAGTGTTTGATGTGTCCTAATAATGCATGCACGTTGTAATATGCACTTTTGAAAGTAAGCCACCTCCTGATTCGTCTGCCTTGAAGTGAATTCAAACACCCTAAATTATTTTGCAGTGTAATAACTGAGTGCGTTCTCATCCAAGGTGTGAATCAGACACTTGGCGTTAAACTAATGAATGCAAAAGAAAAAGTTATCGAAGCAATATGATACTCCCATGAAGAGCATGTCCGAACTCAGATTTGATAAATGTGTCTACCTGAAATAGAATGTCGGTATCCTGACGTTAGGACACTTTCCAACGTGTTAAGGACTGTTGGGCATGGTTGTTTCGGGGAAAAGACAACGCGTCGATGAGTACACTTTTGATGTTTGAGAGTCATTACACTGTATCATTACATGCCAAAAATTGGTGACCAAATCCCTATGACGTCATTTAAACCCATAAATTTGGCAAAGAATAACAAAATGCTGATCACATTGTTCAAAAGATGGTAAATTTGACAACATTTACAACGGTGTGATTGGTCACACCATGCCAGAGCCAGTATCAAAAGCTTCAGCTGCCGAGGACTCTTTAGTAGAGTCCATTTGTAAGGAGCAGGAATGTTCGATGACTCAGCAGTCTGAACCAAACTGAGTGTAATTTGTTGAGTGTAAAACTCATCAGAGATTGGTGATGGTTTTGGTACCCACTTTTAACGGAAGCTGAACGATATGTCTCTGATGTATTACATTACACTAAGTCTTGATATAAGACAAAGAATGCTCCTCTATATAACCTTAAATGAGCTACAGAGATTCCATTCCTTGTCAATCTAACCTTCTCCTGCACAAGTAAACAAAAGGCTATGGGACCGAGTATAGTATCCCGAGTCTAACACATTTGCAAAAAGCATCTGCTAACACAACAGCAACACATGACACCAAGACCCAAAAAGAAAAACTACGTACAAACCAAACTCAACTGCAGAACTAAGCTTGGGCTAAATTATATCCAAATACACTCGAGTATCCAATCAACAAAATGCCACAATGACAGGACCCCTAGTTACGACCTTTAACTATCCAGATCCGCAGCAGATTTGCACATCCAAACAACGCCAAACCAGATGATGATCGCAACTTAGAAGACTCGCACTGAAAACTGGAGTGAGAAAAAGCACAGTAAAATATACAAGTAGCACATACCTTTTGTTACAATGAATGTAGCATCAAGTTTTCTGGCATCCTTTGAGGAACAAATACAGCAGCTACAAATCTTTCAGGATGAGCACTACCGGGGCTGTACACCACTGGGGGTTCACGATGTGCTTCAAGTTTGCCACGGGGACTCCCAATAGGACTGGATAGTCCAGCTAAAAATTCACTTCCATTTACTCTTGCCATCCGGTTCAATACTACCAACTTGTCGAGATCATGTAGTTCCCTTGAGAGCTTCGATGCAGTGGGTGCACTCTCCGATCTGTCCATCCCATTAAATCGTTAGATGCCAGAATGATAGACAAGACAGTTTCAGATATTGACATCGATTAGCCTCCAATTAAATGAGCAGATGACCAAATCCCCATTCCTATTATCAAGAGACTCAGTGGATTCATACCTAGACAACTCGTCCTGCAGTTCGGTCATTTTTTGTGTAAATTGTAACCTCAGCTTGCTTGGAAGCGACAGTGAGCTGGCGTGTTTCACCACCGCAAGTTGATCATTCTTTTCACTGCATGACCTAGGAGAGTTTCAATACCCGGATTTGAAAGAAAATTGTTCTATTATCAGATAGTTCCTAAAAATCAACATGGGGATACTGATGACAAAAATATAAAGCAGAAACTTCCCGATACTTAGTAATAATTATGAAGGAACATTGATGCATAATTTAGCCAAAAAAAAAACTAAATTACTAATTTCTAAACAGCGGCAACCATTCAAAACAAAATTATGAACAGAAAACCGTACTCTAGGAATGAAAACTTCAAGATCTGGGAGGTTAGGAAACATACGATGAAACGTTTCCATTGCTTTCTTCCACGCATTCTTCAATAGTAACACCACCAGAAGGCTCCCGGCTCAAACCAGTGGCCAACCAACAAGCTTCACTAACTGCAAACTTCGCAAGCACAAAAGTGGCAGATTTGTAATCATCCAAGGAATTTCCCTTGAACAACTGAGAAGGGAGAGCAGGAACAATTTGCTGCATAAGTTGAGTGGTGCATTTCAACCGCCTCTTAGCCCTCTTTACACACATTGCCGTCACATCAAGTGTCTCGACTGCATCATTGAACCGTTCCTGTGGGCCAGAAAGCAAATATTAAGAACAGTTTACAGTGGCATCCCTTAATTACCGGTCAAGGACGTACAACTAATAGTAAAAATAGATTACGTTGCCATTAACCTGTTTACAGCTACAATCACACAACCTCACTGAAGCTACAGTAAAAGAGTACTAATTGTAGCAGGCAATCCTACCGACTTAACGGCTCTTTTAAAGAAGGATATCAATTCATCAAAAATTAGAAGATAGCAGAATCGTTGGATCGGCTACAATAATGTATACCTGGTCTTGAAGAGAATTGGTTGCAGCTGCCCACTCCATCTCAGCACGGCTGCACAACAGACAGTAAACAATTTACATTTCACTACACTAGTGATACCACACTATCTATAAACATCGTGGAACTAAACGCATACGAGGTCTATTGAATATGTAAAAATCAGTTACAACTTGAATCTCTTTTCCCCAGAAGAAAAATAGAGCAGCTTACATGCAATTTTTAAATCTCCAATCACAATCATTACAAAGATAGCTAGACAAGAGTCGCAAGAAAGCTACTCCACGAAAACGAAACTTAAACTACAGTACTAATAACATTAAAGACCTTGTGGTTGGTAGATTTGTAGACCCTTGTGAGATAGTGGTACGCCAAGGTACAAGTGGTGGATACTCCTTCCTCTTTTTAAGCAGGGGTGCAACTGGTGCCGCTTGCTTCATTTGCTGTAGCTGCTGCAAGGCACCAGGTTGGCTTTGAGAAAATCCAACACCAACTTGACCAGATGAACCAGCAACCATCTCAGGGGTTGTCGGTTGTTTGCCAGAGGACATCCCTGCAGGCATTGCTGGTCTATCTGGATAACCCACTCTGGACATATGCTGTTGTGCTGCAATTTTAGGATCCAAGCCAGAAGACAAATTTGGATGATCCATTGAATGACTAGGTGCATTAATCCTTTGACTTTGTTGTAATTCCTGCTGAAACTGTATTTTCGCTGCTTGACTGAGGCTTTTGTACAAGTGCTCAGCCTTCTGCCTGGAAATATTATCACTGGGAAAATGCCTGTTGGCCCCAAGCAAAGCATTGTTCATGGCCATCATCCTGTCCTGTTGTGGAACATGTCTTGGCATATTTTCAGCTTGTAATTGCGCTGCTCGCATGTTTTGTGCTTGCATTTGAGCCTGCATCTGAGCCTGCATCTGAACCTGCATTTGAGATTGCATTTGAGCCTGTGCATATGCAGCAGATTCCTGCCGACTAAAGTCGTGCATCAGGTTTCTGCCTTGATGCCAGCCCTCATTATTCCTTGAAAGTTGAAGCTCCACCTGCTGCTCCCTTGACATGAACTCAGGCCGCGATGGAATTGGACGCTGAAGAGGGCTGGTTCCTAAAGGTCATGAACAAGGAAAAGTTAGTTTAGAATGAATACAGGCAATCTACTCTTCGATGACATAAACTACTTGAATAACGTAATAGTAAGATTTAGCAGTACTAAAATCTACCTGTCCTCAAATGTGCAAAAGAGGCTGAACCAGGTCCAGCACAATCCTCTAATGCTGATCCATCTTGATCTTCCAAAGGTTCCGCAATCTTCTCACCCTGCTCTGTCTGATTCAACAACTCCAACGTACTTCTGCAAATGAAAGTATAAATGTGAACAGTTTAATGCATAAGATGCACTACATACCAACAAAAAATAATCTAACCAGAATAAGCACTCAACAAACGTACACGAATTCAAGCAAATTGACAAGTCAAAGACTGTTGAACCTCCACTAGAATTACCACGTGCATGCTCAGTACAACACTCCAATATGCTAGAGTGTCACGCAGTAATAGCATAATTGTGCTTTACCTTCCAGTATCTGCCATATCTCTACGGTCAGAATATCGCGTTCTGTGCGCTAACATACTGCCGGTGTAGGATGTATGTTCATCATCACCACTTCCAGGTCTTGATGGAGTAAAGTATTCCTATACAACCACATCATGAGATATTAGTATTTTAATTCAGATGCAATTTAGAGTATCACAAATAATTCCTTTCAAAACTGTTCTAATGTCGTTGAAAACAGTACTTAACACGAACATAAAGAAGAGTTCAGCAATAGTAAATAACTTCTAACTTCACTATTTGAAAGATACAAACTTGATCACCATATCCATCCCTGTTAAATAGCAGAGAAAACAAGTCCAATGCATGCCAAATCGTGTACCTTGCCCGCATTTCCAGCCATATTGCTTGGCTGATGTACTCTTCCTCCAAGCTTGCACTGTTCGGCACGAACCAGATTAACAGTAAGCCCCCAGCCTGCCATACCTTCTTCTGTTGCTCCATTCATTAAAGATCTTTCACTACCATTTTGATGCCTAAAGCCCGGCAAAGCATTCATTGCCCGGAGTGGTTGGGCCCCTGATGAGTCCTCTTGCAAATTAGAAGCTCGGGCATTCATCATAGCTGCCAACCGGTTCTCTGCTTGTTGATTACTTAGCTGCAGCTGTAATCTACCCTCCTGCTGGCCGCTACTATCCATCACTGTGTCATCAAGTCTTTGCCTGTTATCAGACGCCCAAGCATTGATCCTTCCTTGATTCTGCAGGTTACCCTTGCTCAATGATGTCTGTTGATCCACAATAAAGTTGGCACTATGGCCTGCGCGGTCAGAGTTTTGATTAATAGCACTTCCGTCCTTATCCATAGGATGGGAAAAGGAACTTGCATGTTGAACACTCGGATCAATGTGCCGACTTGCTGAGCTGAGATCATTTTCGCTCAAAGACGCCTGGCTCAAAGCTTCCTGGAAGCTTGGACCCTGACTATTCAATTGATGCCTTCCATCAGCATCCTGAAAGCTCTGAACAGTCTGAGGGCTTCCAGAAAGCATCACCTGTTGCTCATCCCTAGTGGCCTGTTGACTTTCTCCGCTTAAAGCAGCCTGCATAGTGCCTTGAGCACCAACCCAACCACTCTGTGCCATCCTAGCATTTGGACCATCAGAAAACTCAGATTGCGGTCTGGCACCATGAGAATTGTTTTGCGCCCACATTGCACCCTGCTGTTCTTTATCCGTCTCTGCTAACTGAGTCGAGTTTCCTGAGTTTTGTACGCTTTGCCACAAGCTCTTCCAGCTCGCCTGTCCTCGATCAATATCTGTAAATGCCTGAAGAGACGGATTCCCAGCTCCTGGTTGTTGAGGACTTGCCTGCAATAAGCCGTGGTTACGCCAGTTGCTTTCCTCCTGAGAGTTCTGCAATTCCTGTTGCCTCCCATTCGCCTCCAGCTCAGATAATTCCATCATTGATGTCCCAGGATGCATAATACCACCATTTCCCTGAACAGATAAAGGATGAACAGCGGTGGACTTGGGAGTTCCCTGTTGAACGATGGCGTTACTTTGCGTATTGTGGTGTCTCGAACCAAGTTCACCGGATGACTGAGAGTTACTGGGTTGAGCACCATGAGTTCCCCATGCGTTCTGCTGCATTTTAGACCTCTCAAATGCCAAAGAACTGTCAGTGTCAGGAGCAGCATGGCCGTCACTACCAGCAGACCAACTGCTGCTCTTAAGCGTGGAATCTATGTTTCCTTGCAACACCACTGGAACCTCAACCTGCGATGTATCTGGATCCATTTCATAATTATTCCACGTGGGCTGCCGTTTTCTATCATTCACATTCTGCAAGAAAGACCCACCCGCTTGGTGAATACCTTGCTGGTAAGTATGCCCAGAATTAGCTGCCAGATGGGTATTTCTCGCCTGCGGCATCTGCGGCATCATATTAACAGGACGACCCTGTACATTTTGGGCATTTCTGCTTGCTGCCATCAGGTTATGTTGCTGCTGCAGTCGCTGCTGCTGAATAGGATCCAAGGATGTTAGACTTTGAGAAAATAGCTTGACGTGAGGAATTCCATCTTGTTGAACAGCATTCCCTCTCAAGTTCTGTTGTTGCAGTCTCTGTGCTTCTTCTAGAGCTTGTTGGTTGGCTGAAGCGAAATTACTCTGGTGTGGACTACCAAGAAACCCTTGAACATGATTCGGTGCTTGAGATGGCGGCGGCTGTTGCATAGTTTGTCCAAATAACATTTTGGCCTTCGGTGCTTGTTGTTCTGGAACTGCTGGTCGAGCTTCCATCCCAAGCAAAGGTGATGGACCTGCTCCAATACTACGAGGTATAGGTCTGTTAATTTGTGCCGCTGGTGATGGAATCTTGGCCATCCCGCCTAAGAATGCTGGTCCAGCTCCACCCTGTGCATTTGCATAAGGGTTGGACTGCTGGCCGGTCTTACTACTCGTTGCAGCAGATCCATGCAATGATTGATCCAGTCCAGAAGCTTTCATGGCCAATTGATGCCAGCTAAAACTATTATCTTGACCCAGAAGATAATTAATGGGACCCTGCCCAGCTCCAGGCTCTGTCTGAGTAGGGTACATAAGGCTTCCGGAACTATTCTGGATGGCTGTCTGTAAGTTAGGGTGGACAAAAGGATGATGAACATCAAGTGTCATCTGTTGAGGATTAACACGATCAGATTGCTGATGTACCACTTGAGGTAAATCCTGCAAAGAACCTTCACCGTGAAACGCTTGGAACTGGCTCCCAGGAGCTTGACTCTGATTCCCTGCAAATTGTTGTTGCTGCTGGGAACGCTGCTGCAGTCGCTGGTTAGCCTGTAAAGTCAGCAACAAAGGTTATCAAATGCGATTCTGATGTAAACTGCAGAAAAAACAACCGTTTTAGATTAATGTAACAAGATCGAGGTGTGCATGCTTGTGCACACCTTCAGACTGTGTGCGTGTGCGGTTTGATCAGAACAAAACCAAGGGCAACAATAAGCACGGACCCGTCATCCCCAACTTTCCTTGGGAAAAACTAGAGTGAGGGTGGACACCTAAATAAGTATCACATAATATTTTAACCCACAGCAATAATATTTCACAATCGGACAGAAAGAAGAAGGGAACAGTGCCTTAGAGCAGGCATGCTCCGTGCAAAGAGTTTCACCACACCAAAAAGCAGAGAGCACAGCATTCCTCACTGATGACAAGCATCTCTTGGTCAGCATTTCTTGAACTTCCTGCATGCAGTCACCACCCCTAGTATTCCCTGCTTTGGAGTAGCACAAACAAAAGACAGAAAGAACAGATATTGTTCAATAAGAGAATATTCGTCTAGCACACCTGAGCTTGTTGGCGTTGTTGCACATCTTCATGAGCATTGTTGACATATGCATTAAACTGGCGAGGCTGCTGCCACACTGGCAGCTGGTGTCGCTGCGGGTGCCTCCACATCTGGGTCTCACCTTCGTCAAGTTGCTGCTGCCTACTTTCTGATTGAGGTTGTCCCTTCACCGTATAATCGCCCCCACTTAAAAAGTCATAGTCACTAACCTTCAATGATGAGACCTCCATATTCTGATTGTCATATTTGCCGAAACTCTGATTTTGCTGCCCCTGCAATCGAAGTTGGTTCTCTCGGCTAGCTTCTTTCAATCGAATCTGCTGCTCCCTGCTATTCGCTTCTTGCAAACGAAGCTGCTGATCTCTGTTGATCGCTTCTTGCATTCGAATCTGATGCTCTCGCTGCTCCCGAAGATGGTGTTCTCGAATCTGCTGCCCCCTAAGCTGCTGCTCCCGAAGCTGCTGTTCTCTGCTGTTCGCTTCTTGCTGCAGTCGACGCTGCTGCTCACGAATTTGCTGCTCACGAATTTGCTGCACCCGAATTTGCTGCACCCGAAGTTGCTCCTCTCTAAGCAGCTGTTCTCTGCTGTTAGCGGCTTGCATTCGAAGGTGATGTTCTCGATTCCTGGCTTCTTGCAATCGCATTTGCTGTTCTCGCATCTGCTGCTCTCGAATTTGCTGTTCTCTCTGCTGTTCTTGCATCACAGCTCTATAACGCTGTTGCTCTGCTAGACTCATGTTCTGTGCAGGAGAACCGGCCTGCTGAAACCCAGATCCATTTAAAAGACTCTGGAAACCGTACTGAGGATTTTTCTCAGGTGTGGAACTCTGAACAGCCTGTACTCTTGATGAATTCGGACCTGGTTCAGATGACTGAGGAATCTTATGAGGCTGAGTAGCGTTCGTAGGCAAAAAAGAGTACATAGAGGGAGTCGGATCACTATTCACGGCCTGTGGTACAGAATACATAGCTTCTGGATACTCCGAGCTATTTTGAGCACCCCCAATCTTTAACTGCATTGCTCTTCTTTGATCCTCAGTCATAGCCAACCAGTTGTACACCTGTGACTGATCTCGCTGATTATTAGTTCCCATCCAGGAATTATCAGGCATCCACCAACTATTTCCTGCAGGCTGAGGCTGCTGAGAGGTCTGGCCTGACTCAAAAAACTCCTGGTTTTCCTCGTTTCCATCACTTCCAAACAGTGATAGCTGTGACTGCTGCTCTTGCTGCTGAGGTGCTTGATTTTTGGCAAAAAAATCAACACTAGAAACAGGCTTCGGCACTGGTTGAGGGATCTGATACTCATCGTATTCCACGTCGCTACCTGCCACCCCATTCTGCACCATACCTCAAACGAACACTTATCACGAGCCAAATTCATCTCACTATTTGTGCGAGAACATACTTAAATGGACAGAAGCACACATGACAAAAGCGTTCACGTCACGTGGGTACCTTTGGTGCATGACAATATCCAAATACACTGCTTAAGAAATTGTTAAAAGAGCAGCACCTTAATCAAATAGGCACCAACAGGAAAAAGAAATGGAAGGAGATCAGGCAGTAAAGGTAACTAGTTCCATACGTCAGCGTTTGAATGCATAGCTTGGTCTTTGTAGAGCTGTTTCTCCGGACCATCCCTACAGACAACGTGTTCGCAAAAAACTGTCAACAATGAGCTGGCATCGCTCACAACTTGGACGGAAACATCCAATATACTTAAGTGGAAGATAGAAATGAAGAAAATTATTTAATATGCAGATTGGAAGCTTTGATTCACATAATTCAGCACCAGGACTGAGTACGAAAGAAACAAGGTGGTTAAGAAAGATCTGAGATGAGATTGCAACTCGAGTAACTACAGAACCTCGCATGTGATATACATACGAAGTTTCTGGCGAATTGTTAAGTTTTCTGCGAGTTCTATGCAGACACACATGACGAATAATCTGTGGAGAGGCGACCCCTGACAGAACAAATCTTAAGGACGATAGGAAGAGTCCCAAATTATATGGGTATTATAGAACATTGTCTGGGGTGAGGCACAGCGAATCTAGTAATGGACAAGCCAATTAGTTTTCAGTATCTACAAGCTCGAAATTTCGGAGCTCATAATAAACATATTCAAACCCACTACTGGAATTCTCAAACAGGGATATCAACCCACCTTGTTTGCCCCAACGATTGATTGTCGTCACCATCGGGGGCATAATCATAAGAACTAACCACTCCCGAACCTTCTAGTAGTTCAAACGAAGGAAAAGAACCATCCGCCGCATGCCCATCTTTAGCACACCACATAATATCACTATGTCAGCAGCATACAATTTTGACACTGGCACTGTCAGCACTTAGATTCGGAACCAACAGAAACTTAAATGACACAGACCAAGCTCACCTGGAAGCAGGACAGCTGTAGCCTCTGGTGCTGAAGCAATGCTGCAAGATAAATGCTGAAAATAAGTGCGTGGAAGCAATAAAATTAGACATGAAACCCCTTTGCCTTCTTTACCTTACATTCTAGGTTCACTCTCAACTTAAAATGAAGTTCAACGCACGCACTCTGCTGTAAATAATAGATCATTGAAAAGTTTGTAAAAATTAAAAAGAGAGCGAGAGCAAAAAAAAAAAAAAAAAAAAAAAAAAAAAAAAAAAAAAAAAAAAACGTCTCACGATTCACAGCAGTAGAACGCAGTCCCGAGACTCTACAAATGGGGGAATGATCAACCCAAAGCCTAACTACAGTCGTAACCAAAAGCACATACTTGTTGTTCGGTCGATCCAGCAACGTAAAATCAATTGATGCGTAACCATCCTGCGACATAATAAACTCATTCTCGATCTCCATAACCTTCAATACCTCCGCGAAAGCTCTCTGATCTTTTCCTACAAGGAGAATTTCCCACCTCCTAATCCTGTCAATCCTCCGGCACAACTTCGCTCGCCATTTCTACAGCCTGCCTCTGATATACGCCACTGTCCTGTATTCCGCCCCTGAATGCATACCACCTCCAATGACGAAAGAGGGAATACGCCACTGTTCGCACGCGTCCGTCGGAGACGTTGACAACAGCATCTCTAGGGACAAGCTTGAACTGTGGTTCGAGTGCTGTGAGAAAAGGATTTAGCCTAGCTCTGCCATGCTCTGCGCCACTCACGCCAATCCTTCTTCCTATCGCTGAGCTGCTGTGGCAGGTCCTCGAAGAAGCCCGTCGACCTACTCCTAATTCAATACATCCATCGGGTCAACACACCTACCCCCAAAGCTCCCGCTACACCGACCGTCACATACCGAAATGTAGTGTTTCCCTGATGCCAAGTCCACCACAAACTGTATTCTAATCGTCCACGTTAAAGAACCCGGAACGCCCCGTACAGGAATAAATATAAAAAATAAAAACAGCCAACAAAACACGCTCTGGGAAGTTCACCCCGCGCAGAAAGCTCGGAGCCAATCTCACCCTCAACACACTGACCTACTCACAAAAACCTCATCTCCGCACCAAGCATGAGCATCGCCCCACGCAGTGCAGTTCCACCGCAGCACGGATTTTCCCCCTCCTCGCAATAACCCTAAAGATGACCCCCAAGCCACTCTCTCACTAAAGCGTGAATCTCCTCCGCGTCTGCCTTTCACTGCAGAAACCTAGGGTTTGCAACACTACTACGAACCGCCAACTCCCCGAAACAAAGCCAACACAAATACAGCCTTCTATCACACTGCAAACGTCACGAAACCCCTGCCTGCCTCTTCCGCTTCCGTTATGTCTGTCTTCCTCTCGCGACGAGAACAAAATTCCGCAGGTCAAACCCGCTCCAACTCCTGCAGAATGATTGGCCACTCCGCATGGCTCACTCAGGCCCGCCTGAGCCACCACCGCCAAAACACGAGAGCCGAGCAGCACGATCACATGCGCCCGGACAACATGTTCACCACCATCATCCCCCTCCACGAACCACGTGTGCGGGCACCCTGTGTCCCTCCATCTCTCTCGTGCCTCACTCCCTCTAACTCTCTTCCCCCTCTCTCTCACTCTCTCTCTCACTATTCGACCCGGTTGGTTCCGTGCTGGCACTGTGGTGGTGCTAAACCGATCCCGCCATATCCAGGCAAAGAGTCCGGGCACAAGCCATCGCGCGCTCTTATACGGTCTCTGCCACCCCCCACCCCCAACCAACTGCTCCTCTCGTAGAAGAAGCAGGGCACCGAGTCGTGAGCGTGGGCTTCGTCTCTCATTGACAGACAGACAGACAGAAGCCAGGAAGTGAAGCCCCGTTGGCTGCCCCACCTACTCCTTCCTCCCTCCCTTGCTTCCGTCCCTCCCTCCCTTGCTTGCTTGCTTGCTCACTTGCTGGCTTTGCTTTGCTTGCTTTCTGTTTGGCTCCTCTCTCCCTAGTGAGCGAGTATGGCCCTCACCTCGACTGTGTTGTTGTACTATCCTTCCTTCCTTCCTTCCTTCCTTCCTTGGTCACCCGCTCTCTCACCATTGCCAAGCCATAGCCATGCCCCCTCTTCCTCCTCTCGCTTTTCTGTTCCATTTCCACCGTTGCGGCACGTCCCTCCCTGGCTAATTCTCTCCTCCCCAATCGATCCCCACCCAATCCAGTTAACCCCCCATTCTCCCCCTAACTTTCAAACATGTCCCAACCTATTCCTGTCATACTGTGTGTAGATTCATTCCTCAATGAGTGGAGAGGTAGATTCTATGTTTTGAGTTTTATTTATCTTGGGTTTTATCCCCCTCTTGCTTTAGAATGTGGGATGAGTGGTTGAAGCATTCTTTCTCTCTCTTTGCTCTCGTTGTTGTTATTTTTCTCCATTCTTGAGGGTGTGGAGTTAGTTGTGTCAAATGATATAGAGGAGGGGAATGACGAGGAGTGAGTTAGAAGCACTTAAGTTCCAACTCCACTATCTTCCCCTTTGTTTGTATTTATAGTTGTATACTTTTTCTTGTCTTTTCTTTTCTTTTCTTTTCTTTGTTTTTGGCATTAGAAAGTGAGGGCTACCCATGTGTTTGATGTGTTGTGAGTTTTGAACTTCTGCTCCAACTGAAAAGAGTCCTGTGGAACTCACAGCTCCGTGTGGGATGTTGTGTTGTAGTGGGTTTTCCTACAAAGACATAAAAATATCAATATTGTTATTATTATATAAAGAGTGACAGAATTGGATTTTGCATTACACATCCAAGGGGCCCATGATCATTGACAATAGTTTTTGCTTGTAGAAAAGCAATTTTGCCTCCCTTGCTTCCATCAATGCCCCATTTGGTTCTCATCTTGATCACTACTGCCACTCTTCTCCTCTTCCCTTGACAGCCATCACTTTGTGAGTTGCCTCCAAAGCCCAAAACCCCATCACACATATCTTTGTTAAATGAACATGATTCTTACACAATTAAAAATAATACTAAAAAGCTGATTGTGGCTGCTGTGTTTCTGATCATTGATCCTTCAATTGCCATGCAAAACTGCTTAAAACAATGGAACCTTGGGAGTTGATTAAAAGCACAAACTATATTTTATTCTGAACTGTGCACTTTTTGGAACCATGCATGTGAATTCACCAATTTTTTAAAGAACTAGTGTGGAATTACACCTTTATGGAGAATTTATGAGTTTTTGAACATTGGATGCATGTGAGACTTTGTGGTGGTTTTTTTTTTTTTTTTTTTTTTTTTTTCTGAGTCATGATTTACCTTCATTTAATATTACTCAAACTGCTATTGGATGCAAGAAACAGATTAAGTCTGACAAACAAGTATGATATGTGTCTGGCATGTATATTTCCTGTGTTTGAAAATTATGCTTGTCAATTCATCAGTACACTGTGCATGTTTCAAATCATGTCTTGGAAATTGGGGGAAAAAAAAACACAAACACAAACTCAAACACATCCCTAAGTATGGAAGAATTGAAAGAACAAAGTTGCACAGAGAAATCCAGTGTGACTCTCAAAGGAAACCACAAACCTATATTCATAGTTGACCACTTAACACAATTTCAAAGTCTGGATTTTTCCAAATTCAAAAGCTCCAATCTTAAGCTCATCACATGAACTTGATATAGAAAGTTCTGTAAATCAATTGCAACTCTAAGTTAAATCAAGTTTCAATTAAAGATTCTCAATTCACATTGTGAGAACACAAGAAGTAACAAAAATGATCAAGGCTGAGATAATGTTCTCACTTATTCCAAGAAATATAATGTTAGAAGAGAGAATACTGGTGTGCTAGGAAAAGAAATAAAAATAAAAAAACAAAACATTCAAAATTTATTTACTATAATTATATTTTTTCTGATGAACAATATCACATGAAAAAACTAAAATTTCTTTGGAATGTAAAATAAAAGAAAAACCCACTGTTAATGTGGTATTTGACCTTACAATATGTGAAACAAATTAAGGAACAATGCATGTTTATTTTTATTATCAACACAAATTATATAATTAAGAATGAAATAAAAAAACAAAAACTCTTGCATTTCTCCTGTTAAATTTTATTTTTACAAAATAATTTCGGATTGCATTCTCAATAAAATTCTATGATAAATTTATCTCTACCTTGCAAGGTATGTAGATGAATATCATCCAAATGGAAGCAACCAATTGGACAGCGATGGATGTGTCTGTTAGGGAGGAGCGAGGGGCCACCCTCATTGACTTTTTGATTCCGAATTATTCGGATAATTTAAAATCAACCTAATCGGATGAATGAGATAAAGGATCAGATCGTTATCATCCATCTACTTCTCATCCACATCGTTTTCCCGCCACGATTGCAGCATACTTTGATTTCGTGCAGGATAGAAGAAAAAAAGCAAAAGTTTCAATATTGTTTCCGACGTGGAGGAATCCAGTCAGCATAGGAGGAATGCCACCAGGCTCTACTCCACTATTTCGCTTCCAACTGGGCAAAGGCTGCCACGTCTGACGCTGACTCAGACTCACACTATTGCCGCCACGTTATCCCAATTAGAATGGTCTTAATTTGTTTATTTACTTATTTTATTTATTTAAAAAAGGATGAGTCTTGTTAAATAGGTGGGTTGTTGTTGTTGACTTAATAAATGGGTTTTGGAACATTAATGAATAGAAGAATCCTCTGATGATTCGAGTACCCCCTTGGGATGTTTCTATGATTATTATTATTATTATTTTTGTTGCTGATGTGTGAATCATGATGCTCCATTACAAAAAGGGTTGTCTTAAATTGTGGCAAAAGGACAACAATACCCCTGAAAAAATAATAATCATGATGATAAACAAGAAAAAAAATAAAAGAAAAAAGATCAATATTTGAGGTTATATTGTTATTACTTGCTGTAGATGAAAGAGAAAAAACAATCAAGTTCAAGTAAAGTAGGTTTAATTCTTTCTGATGTGTTGTATCTTATGATTCTTGTTTTTGGTTTGCTATTTTTTTATTTTATTTTTGTATGTAAAGCATGAGTTTTGTTTGCAATGAGCAATTAACAAAACAATGGGGAAAAGAAACCAAGTATATACAGATATATATATATATATATATATATATATAGTATGTAGAAGCATGAAATGTAGCATAATATGTGTTCTTCGAATTATAAACTTAAGGTGCTGATGTTTGCCGAACCTTTAAATTCAAACTAGCCTCCTTTTTTTTTATGATATTCTAATGCTAAATCATAAGTCAAACAAACCTTTATTTTGATATAGAAAGTTAACTTGTTGTTTTATTTATATTTTTAGTTACATTTAAATTTTCTGATATTAATTATGCTTTCCTCTCTTTCTAGTCCAAAGAACATTCTTATAATATCAAATTCAATTTAAAAATGAAATAAATATAATATTACCAGAATTACATGGTTCTATTTTAGAAGGTTGTTGATATTTTTTAATGTAATGTTTATTATACAAAAATACAATGGGCTCATGTGGCTTTATTGTGATTTTTTAATTTTTTATAAAATACTGATTTTACATATTTTATTATAAATGTAAAGAATATTTTTCTTCATGATATTTTAACATTAATAAGTAATAAATGCACAACTATACTAATTTAAATGATCATTGCCTTTAGTCACAAAAAAAATCAATCTTATATCTTTATATAATTTGTTTTAAGCCTAGTAGCATAGTGTAATAAAATATATTGCATATTAATAAAAAAAATCAATAATATAAAGAAATAAATAAATAGTTATAAAATTCTACATGCACACTTTATTTCATATATAGTTTACATGGAGATGTGTTTGACATCCTTAATAATCCTATGTATGTCATTCTAGTGAATGCAAAACAGGTTTTTATATAAATAAAAATACCACTATAAATAAGATGGCTAAAATAAAAAATATATAATTAGCTTAGTATTCTGAAGAATAACAAATGTCGCTATAAAGATATTCTTAAACATGATTAACGCCAACTTTTCCCAATTTGTACAATAGTAATTGAACTATGATGCAAATCTGATATCATGAGAACTTAATAGAACACTAGGATTTTGAACAGGATCTCAGATGTTTTATCAACTGAAACAGGTTTTGAACACAAAACTTTTGGATGTGAATAATTAAAAATATTGGTAATAGTCATAACGTTACAATAAATTTATAAACTCTCATTTATATTGCTAAAAGTAATCATTTAAAGGACCGTTTTTTCTTTTCATTTTCATAATAATAATAATAATTATTATTATTAAAAAAACCCCCCATTTGAAGTGTGCATCACCATTTATGATTTCTCAAATAAATATGCATGTATGTATATATATCCTCTCATGTAGGATTAGAAATTATAATTCCAAACATTGGGTACTTTTATTTACTTATTTTACCCTGAATTCATTTTCAAAAAAAAATCCACTTTGGTATCCTATCATATTTGCATCAATGTTGTTTATAAAAAGATTTTTCAAAATTTGAAGCATTTTGTCTGATTGATTGTACTCAAATCCATGGTCCCATGTGTGTCAATAGCCCCATGACCGAGGATTTTCGTTATACCAACAGTTATCATCCATACCGAACACCGTGAAGAGAGTAAATGGATGATTAACATTCCAAATACATTCATCTTATTACGAGGCATCCGGCTACAGTTGACCATGGAGCTGCATCCACGCGAGGGGATTTTATTAGGGCAGCAGGATTCGTGCCATGAGAGCACGGCAACGGCGCAAGAACGAACAGATTACTATTTGGATGAACATAGAATCAGCGGATGGATGGGCGTTTCTCATTCACAGCTGTAGGGATGAGGGTCACAAACATTTTCTTCCAAAGGTTTATTGAGTCTCGTCAAATGGGTCGAGATGCCGAACTGAGGTCCTCAAGTGAGGCCGCCTTTGGTTCAGCACCTCAAATTCGATCGCCCGTGTTAACGCGGTCAGAGTACAGGCACAAGGCCATGGCGGGTGGCCATTCCACTTGTCACATTGCAAGCACGGCACCAACTCTGCACTCCCCCACGTGCGGAGCGTGATTGTTGGATGAATGATACATTCCGTTCATCATTGTTTTATTGGATGAATGATAATTCGCGAGTGTGGTGGTTGAGCTCCTTTGTTTTTTTTTTGGGACATACAAGTAACAATTCGCAAAAATATTATCATGACCACATGTTATTGTACTAATATCAATATGGTTTGAGAAAATTTTAATTACGTTCAGTTCAGTTCAGACAGTACTGTTAGAATAATATTTATTTTCTCACTGCAATTTCTTTGCATCAGTGCGAGCAAAATCAATCAATTCCAAAATTAATCTTCAGAATTTGTCTGGATGTTTGAAAAAAAGAAAAAGAAAGAGAGAATTACTCAAAATATCGTTGTAAAATATTATCACAATTTTATTCGGTACTTGTAGTTGAATAATGCTACTATCAATTCCAAAAATATAACAATTTAAAATTCATCATGTATAGATTTTGCATGAATGCTGTATTTTTTAGTTTGTTTATTTTTGTGGTAGTTACATTTCTAATTTATTGGGAAATTATGTTTTTCTTATTATCATAAATAACTATAATTATATCAGAACAACTCTCTACATATGTTATGCATATCTGTGCAAAAATAGTTTACAATATTGAAATTGTTAGAATGATATTTTGCAAAATTTGAGATTTGTTGCTATTTGTTGAGGAAAAGATTGTATGAGAAAGCTTGTTTATTTCACATGTTCAGAGTGTCAAATAAAAGACATACAATACATAAATTAAAGTAATTATATGAAAATAAGAAATAAAACAAAAAGGGTGTAAGTTAGATGTTACTGATTTCACAAGATAACAATGGTTAAGAAAACAAAAGTAACAATGAACTGGGAACTGAGATGAAAAAAAAAAAAAAAAAACAAAAAAACAAAAAAAAAACACACACACACAGCTTGTAAGTGTCAATCACAGTATCCAGAATTTTACAAAAAATCATATCATAGCTTTATGTCTTGTTTACAGTATTAAAAACACAAATTATGAAATGATATGTTTTTATTTTGGTATCAATATACTTGCAATGACATTGGAATGAAGTACAGAAGTTACATGCTTGTTAAGGATAGTGAGGCCTATATTGATGTAGTATAACTGTGTGGCCCTTCATAATAAGTGTGAGTTCTGTTTTTGCAAAAATCATACATGCTATGATAAAGTGTTTTTGCATACATGTAATCTAATCCAAATTTTAATAAATTTGCAAATTAAGTAAGAAGTTGTGTATGAGAGGATCAAAAAAATAAGCACATGGGACAAAAGAATCTCATTCAAACCTCAAAATTATTATACTATGAGATGCACCGAAATTATTTATATGAAAATAATAAAAAAAATCATATGCAATTACACAAGTTATGAATTCTAAAAAATATGACTTATTCTTGTATGTTCTAACTTACGTATCACACAAAGTCCTTGTAGGGTTTTACCCAAAAAAAACCCCATCAATTTTCAAAGGTTTGATTTTATAGTGTAAACAAAATTGTTGTTTTTAATATTATAATAGAGTAAATTTATAAAATATATGTGCATCAATCTTGTTATTTAGAACCTTTAGTAACATTTCCACAACTTCCACTATTGGTATTGTTTAAAAATTATTTGTAATATTCCTCTGTAATTGGAGGACCATAGTATCACTATTATATATTTAAAAAAGTATATCCCATGATAAATTTTCTGACTTGTACATTTGCCTGTGACTTGGTAAATACATAATTTTTCAATCTTTTACACTTGTTAAAATTTGTTTCTTACGTCCAACCAAATTTTGTTTCCAAATCAATATGCTTCACAAATATTTTTATTGATGTACTATGTAAGCATGGAATGCATTATTGTAGAATCTGATTATTGATTGATTGTTGCTGTACATGCTCTTGTGAACACACTGTTTTGAATGCAATTGTTTTTTTAACAACAACCACATTATGAAACCCAAAAAAGAATTAATATCACTCCTTTCAACAGGGAACATGCCAAAGGAGAACACAATGTTGTTGGCTAATTTCACTACGTACTCATCAAACAATAGAATGAATAAATAAATAGTAAATAACATGATCATGTACGCACTCGCAGTCTCTCTCTTTTTTTTCTCTTTTTTTTTTTTTTTTTTTTTTTTTTTTTTAAATCCCAAAGAAAAATATACGTCCCTTCTGCTGAACATTGACATGCAACTGCCATGAATTTGTCTCTTTCGCCATGTGGACAACCAAAAAATCTAAAGTTTCAAAGAGTATTGAATTTTAAACGTTATGTTTGTAAAATCATTATTTAAGCCCTGAAATAGTATTGGATTTTCTAATAATGAATAAGACAGGGAGCGGGTTTTCCTCGTCAAACGTAATCCTCTTCAAGGGCCATGAGAAAGTAAAGGGTGCAGTCGGAAAAAGCGAAAGCATTAAGCGAGAGAGTGTCGGATGATGCTATTTTTGCAGCAATGGCACCACATGGCTATGGCTATGGCGGCAATTTCGCTCACATCATTTCGTTCACAAATTCTTGTCCGATGAAGTAAACATTGCCCGCACTGGATCACGGTCGCCGCATCGCGAGCTGCGTAAAGTTTTTGCAGAACGATGTTTGGTTTGTTTTTTCACGCGAGAACTTTTGTAGATGTAGTGGATTTTGATTTGTGCGGATATGGATGGGAGTTTCGGGTTTCGATCGGGTTGTAGTGAGGACGATGTTTGAGGATTCGTACCAGCGCATGGATAAGAGGAGAGGCTAATGGAGGTGCATCGGGAGCGGGAATTGAAGGTTGTGAACGATCAGATTTGGGAGACATGATGGCAGCATTGAGTAATGGAAGCATCGGAGACATGATGGCGGCGTTGAAGCATCTCCTCAGCTTGTCGGGTCCACCCCGGTGCAGGATGGACAGTAGGATGACAATGAGCTCGGAGACTACGAGTCAAGAGACGAGAGCGAGGACGAGGGCGAAGGAGGAGTAGAAGAGGCAGAGCCTTGGTTTGTTTATCAGTGACTGACAGGTGATGAGCCATTGCTGCTGTGGTAGGATGCCACGGCTTGTCATACTGTTGATTAACGGATTATCGCTCTTGGAACGCATTATGAGACAGTACATTTTTTGAACTTTCTGGACAATCAGGCTTTAAATCTGCCTCCCCCTTTCATTTCTTTTCTTTTTCTCTTTTCAAGGGGTGGCTTGGCGGATTTGAGTTTCGGTAACAGGTTCCAGTTCTCATTGTTATTTGACAGGTAGAGAGAGTTTGGAGTACACAGTGATAGTGAATGAGGTAAACTTTGATTCAAGTGGAGAAGACGTTGGAATCTGCTTTGACGACAGTAGTGTTGTCATTAGCAGTTCCTTAACTGCCGAAAAAGATAAGTTCGAGGATCATCGGCCTGTGAATGCTTTTGCACTTGATCCGAAGTACGCTTGTAAAGCCTCGAAACAATTTGTTTCAAAAAGGACCTGCTGGACAGCTCCTCTTTCTCAGCAAGGGCTGGTGAAGTTCCACAAGGAAGGTAGCATCATTAGTAATTTGCGGTTTCCCACTTCAACTTTTTGTCTCTACCGCAACAGAAATTACATACTCGATTGTTATGGAACAATTACCCACAAACATGCAGTATGGCGTCATCAGTGCAGCAAGGAAAAGGCAAGGAAACATGAATGGTAACTTGTATGAGGTTTTTGTGATACGTCCTGCACTCTGGTGAATGGATTGGGCATGCTGTGAACATGAGAACAAGTCTTATTGCTTGGGCCAATAGTGCTGGTATCAAACTGTATGATACAGCTTCACATCAATGTGTAACGACTATAGAACAATCACCACGTGCCAATCTCTCTCGTTCTACTCTTTGGCAGGTTTGTTTTTTCACACACATCCAGTATTTCTACTTGTACACCACATCCTTCTAGTAATTAAGAAGGATTTGATTTTCAGGAACGTTTGCACAAATCAAGCCGCTACTAATCTTATTAGTGCTCCAAATCGTGCTTGTTAATGATACACTGATACTTGTAGAATGGGCTGATTGTATCAAGATTGCAGTCCTTAGGACCCGAGGTTGGGATGGCTTGGCAGGAACCTTAGGGTCAGGGACGAAGCATGTGGAAATACGGAGAACCCTGCAACCAGACAACTATATGTCAGGACTTGCACTGTTTGGAGATCAGCTTGTGTTTCTCGCTTACTTCCTGGACCAAGAGGATTGTGAAGTAGAGTCCATAGCTAAAGCATTTCCATGGCAGTTATTGGTGTTACAGAAATTATTTAGCTATGGTTGGTGGATTTGTAAATTTTCTATACCAGAATATTGCTTCAGGTGCCATTTTCCTTCGACAAGAATTTTACCAGTCAATGTGCAACCTCGCTGGTTCCAAATTTATAATGAAAAAATGTGCCTTAATCTTCCATCACATCTGTTCGGTATGGCAGGGATATGCACATCAGCCAGAAGCGCGGATAGTAACAAGACGTAACAAAGAGTTGGCAACCGACACTCCTTCTATTCATTACTATGATCATTACAGAGCCAAAGATTACGTTCTTGCTCATGCTCCTTTCATCGGCGCGAACATCTACCTGTTTTTCCAGGATAATTGTACCAAAGTAGCAGTTATGAGGAATTTGACTGGTGTTGTGAAACTTATTTTGTTTTTGGTTCGCGAGGTATTTCTGATTTGGCGAATTACACGCTTTCATTTCGTATTAATCAGTTTTGTAGGAATGATGGGGATATTTACGCAAATGCCGATCATCCAATTCTCCATGTACCTTGGTTTTGCAAAAAGTGTTGAAGCGACGGATCAGTGGGTATCTAGACTATGTCTGTCGTTTTCCCTGAAGGTGTATTTGCGAGACCATGTTTTATGTGAGTATATGTGATGCTTTTGAATGCTACATTCACACACACACACACACACACATATATATATATATATATATATATATATATATCATATATACACACACACACATATATATATATATATATATATATATATATATCTATCGAGAGAGAGAGAATTTAGAGCAGTGTATTGTTTGGTTGATATTTTTTGGAGGATTATTGGCATAGCTGCTATTGTCGTTAAGACGCTATTTTTTTGAGCTCTTCGTGTTGAAGACTTCACACATAGAGATGAGTAGTGTAAAATGAGAACTGTAGAAGACGGTAGTACAAAAGCACAGCTGTTGGAGGAGGTACAAGCTGTTTTAATTGCTTGATGTTGCGGGATGTGAGCGATTTGTAGATTATGAATCCGCACTTGGTCTGAAACTTTGAAACGTTTATTCTTGTAATCGACGTTGTTAGACGTTATAAATCTATTTGATATTTCATAGTTATACAAAAGGATTGATTATTAAATCAATTTTGTGGCGACTGTCGTCTATGTGAAGCTTGGGGCTGTGCTTTGTATAGTGAATTCGACAGCGCTGTTGATGCTCTTTAGTGGAAATTGTCTATCAGGTGGGCTCTACGTAGACTATCCTCTCTTGAAACGCCATTACAATAAAGATGCTGAGCTTTGTCCTAAACTACTGCTTGGGTCTGCACCAGCCTTGGATTGGTTAGGTGTCTGTCGCCTAAATCTGATCCGGATTAGGTGCTCATTGTTCGGATGTTCTCAAAGAATGATCACATTGTCATAGCTCTGCTGAACTTATGACGTTATCCCTGTTCAATCAACCATGCAGCTAGTTTTGCTTTATATAAATTATAGACTCTCACATCACACATTTCATGAGAAGGATTGAGATCTTTTGAGTTTCAACATTTTGAGCGGCGAATTGACTGCTTGTTTCAGCCGCGTAGGGCGAAGGCGGAGGAAACTATGCTCAGGAGTCTTCAGGATGTCAGTTCCAGTGTTCCTTGATTAAGAAATGACATTGTTTTTATGGCTAACTGAAATGCGATTGTGTGGCTGGGGAGGTTCATTGTTGGAGTTCACAATGGTCTACATACTTCCTCTGCATCTTGTAAATACGGTTTCAGCTGGAACGCCTATCCCTCGATTAGTGCTAGCCTCCAACCTTCTTTCACTTGCAATGCATTTACACTTGATCATCTGATGCGCATGCTGTGAGACAGATATACTTTGGTGTGGACATCCAATTCTCCTGGACCATATTTGTTTCCCTAGTTTTATCTTGTGAACCTTTGTAGATTGCGAGGTCTACTTGTGAAGATTGTCATCGGTTACAAAACTGAAATTTCTCGTCATGGAGGCTGTATCGGCATCCTCAGGGTGAAAAATCGCTCTGGATTCTTTTCTACTCTGTAGCTGTGAAACGGCGCCTAAATTTGTACATTTGATTCATCAGTTTACTGGCAGTTCATTTTCGCATGACTACGGTATGATCGTGACAGCCAGACTATTTTGACTTGGTGCAATACTACGATGAGCTTAATGATATCCAAGTTGGGGCCCGTCACGCACTCCAAGTTGGCTGCTCAGAACTTGACAAAGAAACCCTATGAGCTTAATGCAAATGGTGGAGAAAGCGTGAAAACTATTGTTGCAAATTGGTGTAGAAAAAACAAGGTTGGAAGTACGGGTGTCTACATTTCCACGAATCAGTATAGTAGAAGGTGTTGTTCCATATGTTCCGATCCCATTCCACTGCGACAATATGACTGGTGGTCTTCTGCACTCACGCTTGTCACGAAATGTGACTCAATAACGCTGGGGATTCTACCATCAGATGAAACCGGAAGCCTATGACGATCGGGATCCAATATATGAAACTGCTCATGGATTTGATTGTGACGGGTCATCTAGTCCAGCCCCTTTGTGATGCATTTCCTGTGCAACTGCTGAGTCTGCGAATGGCTAGATTGGTGCTAATGGGTATTGGAAATCAACTTCTTCTTTGACCGAGATAGGAGTCAAGTTGGGGAGTTGTGGAAGTCAGATAGCAGTTATAGGCTGAGGGAAGTTAACTGAGTGTCTTGTGCAGCAAACCTGCTGATTCGTTATCCACTAATATTAAGACTGATCAATAAACCGCTCTTCTTCGTCTTCATTTGGACAGGTATCTGTAGCCATAGTAGTCTTAATTGTCGTTGTCAACTAGAACTTCCTCATGTCCTAGTAAACTTAACAATCTTTGTAATACTTAGTCCTCCATATGTTCATCTTTTCAGTATCGTTCGAAGTAGGCCGCTCCCTTAATAGCTATGCTGGAAGAGAATTATAAGTCTTTTTATTTGAGAATATAGTATCTGCGTCTATCACTATCTGAAGTAAGGCACTTAATCAGAATCTTCGACATTGAACAAGGAACCAGACTGCGAACATAGTATGCGTCATGCGAGGATGAGCTGGCCACGGCCATGTCCACCAAGTCGCATTTGGTTGGTGACCTACGGCCATGTCATAAATTCTGTTTTCATTAACTGGTCTCTTGTTCTCGTCCGTTCTGGGTGCCATAACTTTTAGGGGTTTCCGAATGCATGTCAAGTTGTGTTTGAAATCGCACGTGCGGTATAGTGTACCAAAAATGGTGTTCGGGGACATGTCAAGAGACTACATTCGTTCGGACTTGTGCTATTTTGCAGGAATTTGGTCGCACAACTGCCTCGAGTTGCCTAGCTTATCATCCTTTTGAAGTTTCCATTAGTTATTTACCTCCGATTGAACATTACAGTCATCTCCTCACTACTGTTTCAAATTTTTGGAGATCCTTCTTCTGAAGTACCTATGCTTGCTCGGAACCGGTCCTACATGTCTGCTTTGGGCGTCAGATGTTGGTCCGTAACGGAGTATAACACACCACTGCGTCTCTCTGCATCGCTAAAAATTCAGAACATGACCTAAAACTATTGGATGAACCAGAGAACCACGAAAGATTCTATAAAAATTAAAACCGCATTATCAGTGACTCTGCAACTGAATGGAAGGTCATGTTGGTGTACAAAAGCTGTCATCATGCGGGCTTTTTTGCCCACATGAGTAAGTTTCTACCTCTGCTTGCTAATGCCTAGGCTTATTGTGTTTCATCTGCTCCCTGCTACTAGTTCATTTTGGTTTGATTCCCTTCCCTGTTATGACAAAAAAACTCCCATTCTTCTGGGAAGAGAATCTTGAAACAATTTTCAGCCTTCAATTACTACTCACAAGGCTCATGTGTGGCATGATGGTGGAGAAGGAATGACCATATCCCCATCAAATCTTCACTACAGAATTTCTGATTCCCCACCAAACCAATCTGTCAACCCACCAATTTGTCAGGGACCCAGAAATGACAACTCACATAGAGTAAAAACTACCAGTGTTAGTACTATTCCATCACAACTGCAGTAGAATCAATTCTTATACTATTTTCTAATATTTATTTACACACAAGATTGTTTTTGAGTGGCTGAGCCAGCCAAGAGCACCAGATCCTTATTTTTTTGCCAGGTCAGTCCTCCCTAGACTTAGTTAAAGCTGGGAAAAAATGAGGTATGGTCATAGCATTGACAGTGTAGGTACTATTATTAAGGAGATGGGCTATGCACATGGACATTGTGGACATGATCCACTGTGGAGGAGCACGAAGATGAAGAAATGAGGGAGGAACCGACCTAATCGTCATGTTGTGATAAACCACACAACACATTCAATTGATGAGGAAGTTGAGGCCTGTGAGGAGTGGCCACAAGGCACTGGTGCCAGCACTGTATCCAGCTGTAGTTTTCTCAAACAAATCCCCACATTAATTCTTGTTACACAAGAAGGACACAGCTTTCCCCTCACAAATATGTCTCATCCCTATCAACAGCAAATGTTAGATGAAGCTAATACCAAACCAGGGGTCCATCTTTTCCTGCCTGCAATTCAATCTTTTTCATGGACTTGGAAGGAGGGGGGGTTATTCTTGCATGTCCACCAACCATTGTTTGATCCATTAGATTCATTTGTGTGAGGGAGCTTGATCCAAATGAGTTCCACTTCTTAGATATAGCTCTCCAAACAAACACTTGGATATATGCATATATATATATATATATATATACACACACACATACACAACTAGCAAGCTTTGTTTCTTAAATACATTACTGATTGAAAAACTATAATTGTTTCATCTGTTGATCTCTAAGTGCCCATGAATTGTTGCCATAATTCAATAGAGTAGCAAGAGGAGAAAATCATACTGAAGGTATAACTTAAACACATTTTATGCATCAATTTTCAATTTCTGTTTTTTAAACAACTTATCATCTGCTACTGTTTCTATAGTTTCAGGTGCATAATTTCTAAGGAAAACAAACCTTATGTTTAAAATTAATAAATTACTTTATGTTTAATTATATTTGACACTCAAATATAGAATGTTGCATGTATATGTATATATATATATATATATATATATACAGAAAAAAAAAAACACTCATTTCCAAAGTAATTCATTGGATAATTTTTTCAATTTGACAGTTCAAAAACTGCAAGAAAATAAGATAAAAAAGTTAGCAAGGAAAAGGTAAAAATACAAAAATGCAAATGTCTTTTTACTCTTTATTCATTATTTATTGATGTGTGTGTGTGTGTGTATGATTGTGCTTGTTTTCTTTGGTGAGGATAGTGACACAGTTCTTCTTTTCTTCAACACATGTCTCCACCATCTTCAAAGAGAATTTCATGAAAACAAAATTTGATATGAATCACAACAATCAGGCTCGCAAAAAGTTCAAACAACAGGCTGGACTTGAGAACAGGCAACTGATCCTTTGAATGCTGGTGCAACCACATCCAAGACAGAGAGCAATACAAAAATATATAAAAAGTAAATGAGTAAAATTAATACATATATATTTTGAGAGCAGACACATGGCACTAAACCTACAAAAGCCCAATTACTAACTCCATCCACAAGGTAACAAAATACAGATAACCCACGTCTTTGCTGTAGCATCAGCCAATGTAGAAAATGCCATGATGCCACAACATAAATGTGGCATGCATTCTCTAAGCCTAATCCTTCACTACACAAGCGAACAAACAATAGAAGTAAAACCCAATACACATATCATTTGATTCTATTTTTATTTTTATTTTTTAAACACACTCCAGTGGCTGTGGTTCCCCTGGTGGAGAGTTTTTCTGTGTCCCAATACCCCTTCCTTGTCTCAGTCTCACTTTCAGACTGTTTGTTTCTCATGCTTTCTAATATTCTCAGTAGCCCATCACTCTCACTTTCACTCTCGCATGAGAGTGAGGCACCTTTGTAAAGCTCTCCAGTGAGGTAAGTAGCTGCTTCTGGGCAGGCTTGGAAAATTAACTCGGTTGCTTCCACTTCTGAAACAAAAGCATTCTGTGTTTGGTTTATGTCCCTCTCTCCTTCCCTCATTTTCACATGCTTTATAAATTTTTCAGAAAAGAAAAGACAAAAAAAGAAAAAGAAGTATTCTCTGCAGTTGATCCCCCTCCCCTTCTACTCTTTCTATTTTCGTTTTACTCGTTTCATTTTATTTTTTGAAAGTGTGAAAAACGAGTAGAAGGAACAAGGCCATTCAGTTCTCTCCTCCAATCAGATTAAATTGGGTTTCACATGAAACGAGTGAAAAAAACAAAAAAAAAAAAAAAAAAAAAAAAAAAAAACTTGTTGACTTAATTTTGCCGCAGGTGGTGCTATTTATTTATTTATTTATTTATTTATTTATTTATTTATTGTAATATTCAATTGATTCTTCAACCTTACTGGTGTTTTTCTTTTACAGCTTTTCTACTTTTGTACACACTTGCTTCTGAATACTGTATGAAGTTTGAAAAAATTTAGAAACTTTTTTAGCATTGCAAGGGCGTTCTTCATTTTAAGAAAAGATATTTTCCTAAAAATATATACACACACACTTTTTAAACTCAGAGGACAGGGAGCAAAGATTGGCACCACAAAAGAGTACACACTAATTTGTATGGTAGTGTGGATGATGTGGGGAGCTGTCCTTCTCCAAATAGATATTGTATTGTCTGCATCTGTTTTAAAATATCATGATTGAATCGATAGAGGCCACCAAAAAATTCCACTCTAAAATCAAACACACAAGTTGACTACGACCCGTTCCTTTGCTTTTTATTTATCCAAATTTAGAGCCCTCAAGAGAGCACATGAATAATGAAATAATGATAATAAAGGAGCTACATGACATGTGTCAATAGAAGAGTGGATATCAGTTGTCTGACAGGAACCATTTTTGTTGTTGATATTGTTATTACTATTATTATACAATTCGTTCTCGGCATCTGCAACTCCTTTATTTCTAAATATATGTCACACAATTGGGTTTTGGTGGCACGGTAAAGAACTTGCGAAATTCTCTGCCTACATGGCCCTACTCTAAAGGACTCTAAGTTCTTTCCATTGTTTAGGGCATTGGAGGAAAGCAATATCATATTTTGGTTCTTCTTGTGAATGCGGACTTTGGCAATGTCTTCTTTCTTTAGTTCATATGGATATATATGTATATATAATTTTTAAATGTAGCACTCACATTTGCCATTTGTGTGCATTTTTTGCTACCTTTTCAAGGTTTTGAATAGGATCAACAATAGTACCCTCAACCTTTACTTTGTTTTATTTATCTTATGAGTAATTGTTCTTCACATGCTTTTCAATAAGTCTGTAGAATGAAAAGTTTTCAAGAGAATGTGGGAGGGGGTTGTTGAATTTGACCGTAATATTTTTTGCAGTATAGTTGTATTCTAGCATGGGTTGCAAATACAATCACCGTAAGCAAAAAAAATAAAAAATAAAAAATAAAATGTTTACGTAGAGTGTGTTTATATCTTTAGCGTTTGTCAATGCAACCTACTTCATTGCTCAAAACATGACACTATACAAGCAATTTGCAGATGCAAAATAACATGGTGAAGGATTGGACTTGTTGTTTTTGAACCTTAAATCATAAAACTTTAAAGTAAAATCGAAATTCACAAATATCAACCAAGTGGGTGATCAAGTGTATTCATGAATCTCTCTCTCTCTCTACATATATATATATTAGAACAACAATAATATTTTGTTTGCTTGGTTTTGAAGTATAATTAGAATGAACTACACACGTGTTTTGAATGTCTCAATGTCAATTTAATAAATAAGAACAGAATGAATAAATTAAGCAACAACTTGCACTGACACGTGTTGGTAACCAAGCACAGTGTCATCGTGTCTGATTCCTGTGAAATCTAGGCGCCATACTATTTGTAACTGTTGTATACAAACATTTATTGTGTTATTTTATTTTATTAAAAAAAACCAAACCAAATAAACAGTAGATATGCGGTGATTTATATTTTATCAATGATTATGTAACCATCTATAGGTCTTTTAATATCAAAGGTATTTTAAGCATCAATACTGCAAATTTGTTTTAAAGCACAATTCAAAACATAATATGGTTCCCCAAACATATTCCAAATCCATATTTGGATGAATGTATCCTATTTATTAAATTTATCTGTCTACACCAAAAAGTTCAAATTAACATGTTCCCCACAATAAGTGATGCGAATGTCATCCAAAAGTGAAGGATGATTAATTATAATATAATTTTAAATAAAGGAAAAAGATGCTTCTATTCGTTTTAATATGGATAGTATGGAAATATTGACATCCATACAATTGACATTATTACACAGCAGAACGAATTAGTATAATGGTTGAAATAGTTTGTGTAGTGGCATACGAAAAAGACAACAAGAAGGGTTGAAGGTGGAAAAGTAATGGGACCCACTTAAGCACGCCAAGTAGGGTATCTATGACCGACCTAATGAGAGAACCTATTAACGGCAATGCCCAATTGGCATGGCCCCTGATGTTGAGGTTCCGGTCATAGGGCCCCCACTAGCCCTTCTTCGGTCAGACACTCACTCGGACATCGTTTTATTAAAGCCAGGCACACATTTCGAGGTCTGAGAGATACACTGAATGATATAAGTGTCAAGTCAAAGTTCAATAATACCCACGGTATATATATATATATATATATATATATATAACTATGTTTCATTTTTTTCATTAACCGTGAGCGTTACTAGATTCGCTGAAAGATTTGATGACGTGGACAATTATTGGTTAAAACGAAGACATTATTGCAGAGCAATTCAAAGTATGTGTTTTGCGAGTGTGTTTTTATTCTATTTTCAGGGCTTGTTCATGAAAATAAAGTAAAAAATAGAAAAAGAAAAACAACAACTTCTGCAGCTTTTTCGTGTGGACCAGTGTAACCACGCTACTGGAACAACAAATGTAAAACAATCCAACCGTTAGTTTGGGATTTTGTTTTGTTTTGTTTTGTTTTTTTTTTTTCTTCTTCTCCAATTAGAGGCAAAATAAATGAACACAGAGTAGTTCAAATCCCATGAAGATGAAGAGTGATGACAGAGAGTCTACACACAATAACACACTGCAATTCATTCAACTCAGACATGGCGGACACAACTTACAACAACATTGTTAACTAATTTCTGAGAACGCAAATGAACACATCGAACACAAAAATTGACAGCCACATGAAACTTCAAGCATGGAGTTGTGACGAAGTGTTGTGAGAAACTTAATCGGGAAAGTTTTAGATGCAGATGGGTGCAAAAAGGTAAGAAAAAACGATGAATGCATAAAACTAGCAGTATGGAGTGCGTTCATCTATGAAAGGGAGGGAGATGGTGTGTTTATAGATCAATGAATGTAAATGGTGGTGGTGTGCGGAAGCGCAGGGTATTGTTGGATGTGTCGTAGGGTTGCCCCGCATTTAAAAAAAACCGTCGTGCTCTGCATTCTTCAGGCTGCGTTGTTCCTTTCACTGCTGCAGCTGTTGCTAGACTCGCCCTTGATGGTACGATGCCAATACTCTGGCCCTTGCGGTCGCTACCCACCTCTCACATCGCTACCTTGCCCAGGGAGCTGAGAGAGCACATAGCGTTGTGTCTCCCCTGCCCCCCCTCCTCTTGTCATCGCTTCCATTGCACAGCTTCAAGGTAATGGCTTCCAGTGATTAGCCTTGCGACGTGTTTTTGAATGGAAGAGAGGAAGAGAACGAGAGAGATAGACAGACAGAGAGCAAGGAGGTGGTGGTTGTGGTGGTGGTTTCTTCGTCTTTTGGACGTAGTTGAGAGTTGGAGCAGCATTGGTGAAAATGAGGGAGGCTGTGTCTGCAGTGCAGTGTTTGTCTTGTTTCCAGGCTGTGTGGTGGTTCTGTTAGGATCTTCTTCAGACAGGGATGGTTGTCATTTAGGGTGAAATTTGACGCTTCTGTTCCCTGCGTTTAGGTTTTGAAAAATAATGATCGGCGAGGATGGGTGTATATTAGTGTTGTGGAGGTGTTGAGGATGTTGGAGGGAATGATGGTGCCAATGGTACCCAAGAATTCTGACCTTGTCGGGAGGATATTCTCGGTGTTCTTTTATTTCATTCTGTTGAGTAGACGCAGAGTGGTATTCTGCAGTTAAGTCCCTGCAGGGGCTCAATAATGAGAACAAGTAAATGGTGTCCGTGAGTTGTCGAGATCAACCTGGATTCTCTCATGTGAAAGTGCCCGACTTTCTGTTGTGAGAATCCTTTTTATTGCTTTCAATCTATGCGGTTTGGATTCAAGTTCGTGTACTTTTTGCACAAGGCCTGTATTTGTCGACTCACCTCAATCTTCATGTTGGTTTGTTGTTGCGCAGGGTAGAGCAAAGGCAGCATGACCATATAAGGAATGTGGGTCTATTATCTGAAAGAGTCTTAGGTTTTCCTGAGGTGTCTCCTGAGGCGTCTCCGAGGAATTTGAGAGGCTAGAATCGCGCATCCAGTGTGGTTTTTTTGCTTGTAGGTGAAAAGGGAAAAAAGTGATTGGATTTGTATGGCCGGTTTTTTTCATGCTCGGCAGGCTGGCGACCTTGCTGTGGGCAAGCCTCCACTGCACAAGTACCCCAAGAACCTCTCGGTGGGAGAGGCCTTAAGAGCTCTCAAGAAGAGCAGTGACTTGGAGCTTAGCCTTTGGGAAGAGTTATGCCCACTCACGGAGAAACCTAAACAGGAAGCTGCTCCCCTAGCTCATGGCACTGCGTGGAAGGGTCACCGCCATGTTTCTTCTGACCATGCCTTGGGGAACGGGACCGACTCTAATGGTTACAAGGTACCTACAATGTGCGTCCCTGAAGATTTGTTACGGAGAGCTTTTATCAAACCACACCATTTCTTCACATTTTAATGTGAAAGTCGATTGGTCTGACGCTCTGTTTCGTGCAGGTCTTTAGTCAAGGCTTGTGGAGATGTGTGGGGAAATTGAGCATGGTGGATATCACCTGCTTCCTAGCTCGTGATGAAAGCTTGGCGGATCCAAGTGCAGCTCTTCGAACTCCCGTCTCAGCCATTGTTTCAGAAAGTGCCTTCACCATCGTGCACGTGGACTCCAAAAGCAAGTATGAATTCATATCGCTTTTCATATGATTTAATTTAAAATTTCAGTTTAACCAATTTTGATGTCATTTATTTATTTATTTTTTGTGGTCTTGATTGAAATCACTTGTGTGTTCCTCTGTATGCTTCTTTGCTCTGACATATTAGGATTATCAAGGTCAGGCCAATTCAGGGTTTCATCTTTTTGCCGGTTATATGTAGTTAAGGTATTCTTTTAAAACAATTCGACTATTTTCGATTACCTCATGAGCACACTGGGAGCTTGCGAACAAGGAAGTTATGCTAATCTCTTACAATTTATTTATGCGTGCAGGTTATTCGATGCCTTGGCTCACGTCCTCGACGGTGTGCACCATCTTGTCGTCTCCATTGATCAGTCCGTCTCAAACCGGTTGGCTCGCTACAACAGCATGCCTCGCTCTGCGAGAGTAGCCCATCATGCAATCCTAAAGCCAAATGAAGGGAAATTTTTGGACTCTCGATTCTCCCTTCCGACTAAGATTCAAGCCGAGGGACCTCAGGAGTACTGTTGGCTAACGCCAGAGGATATCCTCCAGTTTCTGTTAAGCTGCATCAGCTTGTTCTCCCCTCTCCCTATGATGACCATTCAACAACTCGGAATCATCAACATGGACGTACTCTCAGTGAAATCAGACGCTGATGTGATTACCGCATTGCCTTTGATACAACAAGCCGCCAGAAATATGACTGCTGTTGCCGTTGTCGAAGTGGAGGAGGAGAACGTTGTGGACTTAAAACTTGTTGGTGAAATTTCTCCCTTCACCATGAAAGGCTGTGATGAAAAAGCAGCTCTGGCCCTCGCAACTCTCTCCGTGAGAGACTTTTTGGCGTTTTCCTGCGACTGCGAATGTCCTCCCAACTCTCTGGTTGAGCGTGTGGAGTCCAGGATATGTGAGAAACTGGAGCACTTGCAAGTCTCTAGAACTGAATCTCTTTTGGCGGATACTGATAGCCCACCTTTATTTGCTTCCTCTCCAGTAGGCAGTGTCTCATCTGTCGGTCCGCTTGCTTCAATGTACAGCTTCGACAGCGGGGAGGAGTCATCTTCCTCTGACGAAGACTGCATTGGGCACTCACCCACCGGTCCATTCGGCTCCTCGCACAGATCGTCCTATTCTTACTACAAGGGAAGATTGGCTCCTAACATGTGTCGGCCATGGAGCTCTCTGGTGGCAGTGATGGTGCAGGCTCTCACTCACCGAGTGGGCTACATCTGGGTCACCGACAGTGACAACACCCTGATTGGAATTGTGACATACTTGGATCTAATCCGATGCATTCTTAGCCACCTACACTCATCAGATTAAGGCCATACTTACTGCTTCCAACTCAACTGAATGTCGCAGGCTTGATCTATCTTTTCAGTAGTTGCGCAGCCAATATTTGACTGCCCGCAGTTAATAGCTTCAGAGATTAACCGTCCATTAATTTTTGCTGGAGAGTTATATAATAGTGGCGCAGGCTAGTGTAACCTTGCGCTTGCGGATTCCTCTTGCTACCCTTCCTCCCCCCACCCATGTACCATACTGTAACCGAGTGAAATTTGATACTTTGGAGCTTCCTGTCAGCTAGCTTACAAAGCTCTGATGCAGCGACTGGCTTTGTAATCTTTGCGCTTACAGATCCCCTCCTGTGGCTACTTTTTGGACTGCGGTGCTTTATTATTTCTTACATGAAGCTCCTCGTGGTGGCATCTCATCCAAAGAGAATGATGGAGGAGATCTTTTTACCATTCTTCTTGAGGCAGGTTGTGCTTCGCGGCCAGAGTTAGTCCGTTACCTCAGGCTTATTTCATTTTCAGCATGCTTGTTGTGTTCTATGTCCCGCTTCTTGGCAAGAGTTTACATTTCACTCTGCAACTTGTCCAACCAACAAGTTGTGCTATCTCCTGCCCTCATTTTGTTACACTCTTCAATCCTGCAAAACAAATTTGCATTATATTCTGCTCAATTCAGATATTAACAAACTTTCGTTGATTACGTCTCTTGTACATACATACACACACATTGTCATACTCACAATTGTTTGAATTTATTGTATGTTGTGCTTTGCTACTGCAAGAAAATGAAAAGATGGGATGTGCAGGCATGAGTATATTTTGATAAGTATGGAAATCTGTGATCAAACCTCAATCACAATGCAGTGGCGAAGCATATTTTTTTACCATGCCACTTATACATTTTAACGAAGAATTCATAATGGATGATGAAATGGCAGCTGTAAATGACATTGATATAAAGTTCATTGTGTAAAAGTGTACAACGTATAACAATTTTATAATCAATTTTAGAACATAGAAAACATAAGTTTACAACATACTGTGTATATATATATATTTCAAACAGTGCTAGTTGATTTTTCTATGATACTGTATCTTATTTCAATACTTCTATGACTTTTCAGAAAGGATCTGACTGTCTTGGATGCAATTAACTTCCATCATAATCCTAACAAATTATCTTTCAAAATCCACATATTTTCTGGAAACTTTTGTGTGTAAATGAACCAATAATTAATAAAAATTTACATTTCTGAGATCTAAATGAAAAAAACTCCATGAAATAAACAAGCAAAATACAAGTTTAGCCAGAGATTACTTCAACAATTTTGCCTAAGTTACTTTTACGAACAGTAACTACCAACATGGACAATCACTATCATATTATAGAAAAGAAGTGGGTTTTGAGTAGGTCATTTAGAAACAAAAATGCATCAAACTAAATGAAAATTAATAACTGTAAAGATTTAAAATACTGTAATGTTTTGGACATCATCTTATCATTTAGGTGTATTTTTGTAATTAATGTGGTTATATTTATGTTTAAAAATTTCTTAAATTTTTACATTAATTTCCTCTTGATGTACTAAAACCTAATTTTTTCAGGAAGATTCTTTTGACATTCAAAAAGCTTTATTTATTACAAAATCATATTAAACTGTGAAAAAATATCTACAATGTAATCTACAAATTTAACCACTGGTCAACAAAACTCCTGAATATACCTCCTCTATCCCAAAAACCCACATACAACATCCAAATAACATTTTAAACTCAAAAAAATGGAACCGAATGTCTCTTTTATTCTATTTCTTGCACTTTCTCTATCTCTCTAAATTTTCTTCCTTCATGTATCTCTATCTATACACGTGTATATGTACTGCTCTATATATTACTTTACTTATTTTTAGTTTATGATGATTATTTCAAAATATTAAAACACTACTTAAATATTTATTAGTATGTAACTAGTGAAAATTGTAGCATTGTTTTTAAAAAAGTGAAACCAATTTTAAAAACGGTTTTAAGAAGAGTTTATTATTTTGTTGCATCGATGTGGTCAAACTGATTAGTCAGATTCGTATTGATGATTGTCGATTGACAGTTTTCATCATCACTTTTTCCATATTATTCAAATTCTTTTGAATACTATTTAATTTTAATCTTCAATCTTGCTTAAACATTTTCCTGCTCAATTGATTATAAAGGATAATAATTGGTTAAGTCAACAATGCATTGTTAATTCAAACTACTAAGATATTGACAAGTATTATAATTTCCTATTATTTTTCAATACAAGGTTTCATAAAATATTTTTAAAAAATATAATGTTGAACAATAAATACAACAATTAATTGTGAACATGACATTATGTTAGAAATGTTAGTTCCATGTCATTCTGTATATCATATTTACAAAAACACGAGTTTGCTCAGCACTCCGAAATAGCAGAAAAGGAAATTACATTTGATGAAAAGAATTCTAACTTTAGTACTTCAATCGAATCAAAAAAGTACAAATGGTTTGCAATTGTAAAGTTCTGTAAAGCTCGTGTGTGTTTTATTAAATAGAAAGAAAGTCTTTGATCGAAATAAAAAGGGAGGTCTCGTGCATTGATTCTTTTTTGCAAAAGTACAAACGTACATTTCAGCATTTTGTTTTTAACTTTATTTGATTTCACCTTTAGAAAAACATCGTGAAACTTTTTCTTACTTATTTAAAAAATTGATGTTTAATAATCTTAAACAAAAAATAAAATTGTATTCTTAAAAAAATAATAGAATATATTTTATCCTTTACATTAGTATATGAATTGTGACTTGAAGATAAGTCTGATCAGTTTTGCAGGCAATCGGAACTGTGATTTTAAGAAAATACATACTATTGAATTTCAATAAAGTTAAAATCCTTGCATTGATTTGTTTGAAGATGGTTTTGGAAAACTGGTTGTGGTATTATGATCTTTATATGATTGCTAATGACCATAAAAGAATCTGTAAATGATTATCAAATTAAATCTATTCAAACTGCAAAGCTGAAAACTATGTTTGACTCTCATTTCAATTCAAGTCGAAGAGTTTCAGAGATGCAGTAGCTTCAAATGAGTGAAGATTTGTTGTTACTGTACAAGGATTCATTTTCAAGGTTGAATTTATTATATGCTTTTTAAGGTTACATTCATTTTCTTACCACTGATTTTGAATAAGAATTCAAACTAATATGTGCACAAGAAGTTCCAAAGGTTTGTAGGGACTGGGTAAATGGGTCAGGAACATGCTGAGGACCATATATTCTTCAGGAATAGAATACTGATTCTCGGGAGCTTGAATTCTTCCCACAAATTTAAATTATACCTTTGGGGCAGTGGAAATAAACTATTCAATAGAATTGAATTTCTTATCTAGGAATCATTGACACAGGTTTTCAAGTGTTTGGGCGAACTGGTGTTAGTTTGCAAGGTTTGTCACTGTGCAAATTTAACTTGTGGTAAAGAAAAAATTGGAATCAAGAGTGTTTTGAAGCTTGGCGCTTACCCTTTTGCTGCATACTGATTAGAATCTCGTTCCATTCTCTGTGAGAGCTTGATGAATCGTCTTCGTCGCCATTATCATCGTCAGAGTTAATCACTATGGTGGGTCTCAGGGTGCTCACACTCCTTGCACAATCACCAGCACCTCCTACCATCACCTCCCAATTCGTTCCCCTGCCTCTTGAAAAAGGTAATCCAATTTCTTCATTCTGCTGGTCACTATTCCACCTCCAGCTTGTTGGCTTTTGGGAAAAGTCTTTATTGTTGCATTCTGTAGTAGTAAGATCACGGAACTCACTGAAAATGTTTACTCCTGCAAGTTGACAAGTGATGATAATCTGGGATTTGGAAGTAAAAATTGAACCTGAAAAATGTAAAGCTTCGAGATGAACAATGGATTTGTTGGGCAGCTTATGCAACAATGCTGGCTAGCAGCAATACAGTCATGAGGCATCTATGTAATCCATTTCATACCTACTGCTTCACGCTCACAAATCTTGAATCTTTGTCCAGTTCGATTATATCTGCAATCAGAGTTTGGATTCTCATTGTTTGTATGACCAGCGCCGACATCGCTGAAGTTTCCTTGTATGTACCCACAACTTTCACCAGTAGCTTGCTCCTGAGCACTAATATGTGCCAACCCAGGGTTTGATCCACCAATGTAAGCTGTACCAACGCAGCGCTCCATCCCTGCAACATCGACAATTCAGATGTTGTTGGGTACCATTCGAGGTGAAGAGTAGCTGACAAGCAGATCATAATCATCACAAAATAGTGAGGACAAAGGGTCCATACTATGAAATTATTTTATTTCGCTCATGCTGGCACAGAAATTACCTGGGGTGTTACCCCTGGGCGAAGCATGCCAAGGTATTTGGCACACATTCTGTAGGCTGCTGTGGGCGACCTGGGTGCACACTGGAGCCACCATTCGTGAGGCTCCCCATGAATTTTGAGGTTCTTCATAGAAACTTGCACGTGCAGTAGGGAACAGCACTTGGAAATTTTCTGGCTTATCCTTGTAATTATCCAAGCTCCCCTCCCGTCCAGAACTCTTGAAGTCAGAGTTATTGAAAGAAGCACCAGTTTCAACTAACGAGCAGGGGGCCGATAATGTAGAGCTTGTTGAAGAAGCATTAGATTGAGTACACAGAGGCCTTCCATCAACTAGTTCAGTTGCTTTTTTCTCCATGATAGAGATGTTCGGTAGTGATCCACTGGGTAACCCTGAGATCACTGGAGGCCGTTGGCTGCCTTCACGAACGACAGTAGCCATGGAAAATATACTCCCTTCAGAACGCCCGAACGAGCTTTGCAATGGACCAGATACTGAATGTTCAGAGCTTGGTTTGAGAGCTAAACTCTTTCGGCAAAACGTAGATCTCATCTTTAATGTATACGGTGATGGATTCGAAGGCAGTTTAGGCTCTTCACAGTGATCCTCGCCACCAAAAGAAGGTGGAGTAGAGTGACCGTTTTCTTTGGTGAATGAGAGCTGCAGTTTGCGTCTGGCAAGCTCTTGGAATTCTAGTGACGGCGCACTTGGATTAAATTCCTGATCCAAACGTCTCACAATACTGGAAGCAGAAGTGGGGGATACGATGTTTGAAGTTGGATGTGCAGGGTAAAGTGGCAGATCTAAAGACGACATGCTTGGTTCCCAGCCATCCACTGAAGCTGCACAAATTTTTTTTTGGTTATGTTCCGACGGAGTCAACAATTGAGTTGAGACGCTTGGTGCATCAACGGAGCGAGGAGTTTCACTCGACCATGAAAACCGAGCCGCACTGGAGCTCGGATTCATCTCAGCCATTGTCCTAGATACAAGCCTAGTTGAGAGGGATGGTGCTTCCGGCTGCAATTCGCTTAACCCAAAAGAATTACACAGCTCTACGATATCAGTAGAAATTGATGAAGCTGGAGGAGGTGATCCCGCGGAAATGTGTGAAGAAACACCTGAATGCGCATCAGAAACACATGGGGGAGATTTGACCTCCATCACCTGTTGGAAAGAAGTTCCCTCTGATTCTCCATACAATCTAGAGGTTTGTGGTGTCTCTTCAAGGCAAGATCTTCCGGCCTGGGTTGCATAATGCTCAGACTCCCTCAAGTTGGTGTTAGATTCCGAAAATTCGGATGTGGTGGCTTGCTGAGTTTGAACAGTGCCACTCTCCGGCTCCCCCATGTAAGAGTTCTCCATGGCCGTTATTGGGGAACTACTTGTTATCTTGTGTAGCTTGAATTCATCATCCAGTTGGCTTTCTGTAGAATCAGTAGAGGAGGCCGAGGATTTCCGATGGGAGGAAATTTCAGATGTCAAGTCTAGAGCAAGTTCAGATGCATCGCTTTCATGTATTTCGGACGACAAGATGTGGTCTCCAGATAGTGGTGCATCCTGGACAAGAACAAGAGATTGTACTGAACACTGTCAGTCCAAACCTGTGCAAATGAACATGGCACAAAGACCAAATTATCTGTCTGAAGATGAATCTTCGTACGTTTCATAAATTCATGAAAAAGTATCACATCAAGAATCTACTAACACATATTTCACCCAGTGTTTCATTCACTACAAAAAATCTACAGCCTAAAATTTTGATGGAGAATTAAGCAGTAAACTGAATATCTTGCCTCTTCTTCTTGTGAATGTCGAGACCCCAATTGCTTGTCCCACCCTGCTTCTTCGACAGAACGTTGCACTACTATCTCATCCCTGCTGGTTGGTTCATTATCCATCTCAGGAGACGGAAATCGCATGTATGCAGCATCAGTCTCTAGTCCCCAAGGAATAGTGTCTTGAAGCTTATTCACTTGAACTCCAGCCCAATGACTTCGTATGTCAGTTGCATTGACTGACATGCCTTTAGCTGTCGATCTCGCAGACGACTCATCTGCCGCGTTTATTTGGGGTGGTCGTGTTTGACTCTCAAGAAGTTCACCCTCACTGGTGGTTGCAGAGTTCCAGAGTTGGGTCTTGCATGAATAGTCACTGAAGGCAGTGTGTTCACCGCTTTCACTTTTCACAGAGCCAACACAAAATAATACATCACAGAGTTGCTTGAATGCAGCGGTGGCTGATAGAGCAAAGCTCTCACATGCTTCAATCTGCAATTGTAAGCTTCTATGTGCATTGCCCATGGTCTTTGTATTCAAGGATAGGACACTCTGAGGACTTGCAATTTGTAGAGGCTTGCACTCAGCGCGTAGTGATGCCATGGCAGCCTCGGCAGCCATGCACGCTCGCACGGCACGTGCCGCAAGTTCTTGCTGCATGCTGGACGGTAGCGACATAACCTTCGTCATCCCCTCTTCCATAGAACCAGAGCTCACCACATCAAATCAAGCTGTGAGCATAAATTAAAATACAAGCGCAGGAAGTGCTTCATTCAGGTGAACGACGGAGATCATAAGCTTCTCGATCTGCTTTCTGCATACAAGCCGGAATGCATGTTACTTGTCTTGTTTAACGGCGGAGATTGTTTATTTCAGGGCTTGATAAGGCCTTCACAAAAAAGAGCACCAACCATGCGACTCTTGCACCAAAGCTTACTGGTGACAATTATCTCCACCTGTCTTTGAATCTGAGCCATGGCATTTGGAGAAATGCAGTTGCACGGAACGCACTTCATTCACGACGCTAAAATGATGAACTTCTACTCGCACATTCAATACTGTGCCTCGTCCATGATTTGTTAGGCATAAATCCACTTTACAACTATCTGAGACCTAGTTTGTCAGACGATGATATGATTTCATAATTGGATAATTTCACTGCTGTCGTCATAAACTTAATTCTCTCTATCTGTTATTTGGTGTGAAATTGTCCTTCTGAAGTGAGAGGCACTTCGAACGAAGCTGTTGTTGGGTAAATCTGAAAGTTATTCATCACAGCAATGTGCTGTAGTCCTGTCAACTGCACATTCTTCAACACGAGCAGAGGAGAAGGTACCGTCATGTGTTGTTGATCGCAGTATTCAAATATCGCTTTGCCACGGCTTGTTTGTCAAGAGTGTTGTTTTGACACATTGCGGCCCTTCGCTACTTCCTTACAAATTTCTTCAGGTGTAATTGCCACCGATGATGTTTCATTTCCCCCTTCAACTTACATATGTGCTGGGATAAAAATTGAAGACGACAGCGGCTGATGTCCTGACAAGCTTGTGCTCACGGTCACCGCAGAGTCTCTTCCACCTTACAATCGATATAGTAAATGTCATTTACTGCAGAAAAAAAATTGATTCATCAACTAAGATAAAAAAAAGCTCGGTAGACCTCAACTTGCATATGAGTATTAGAGACACCACATAAACTACGAATCTGTGCCCACTCAGCGACTGCTAAATGTTCTCTGTCTACTTCCTTGATATTACTTAGGTCCACCCAATCCGCCGTGCGATCAATCCCTCCGACAACATATTCAAACCTTTCCAGATAGGTTTAAACTCTTCTCAATTTCGACCGCCTCTTATTACCCCCGTTACAATCAGACAATCAAAATCGCCTCACAATCTCAGCACAGGGCGTCACTACGACATTCCTGACCGTGCACAAATGACAAACTCAGTCTTTCCAGACCACTTTCAAATAAACCAAACACCTCCAATGCCAGAAAACATAGTTTTACAAAATTTTGCATACAAATCGAAGAAGTCACGCAACTTGTCATGCACAACGACATCGCAAACTCTTGCGCTCCCGCGCTACTGAAAACGGCCCAACTCAGACCGGTCAAGAAGGTAACCGAAAACTGCGTCTTCTCAGAATGAGAATTTAGACGGGTGTCAGCCGGTGGGTCCCGTCCTGTAACCACTTCTCTGTCACGCAGAAAAGCCCAGTAGTGATTACGACATTCGTTGCCGAGTTTTCAGTTCCTTACGCCGAAGCACAGATTCTTCGGCGTTACAGAAGCTGGTTTGGAAGTTAGGTCATCCACTGGGGCAGATTGAGACCTTACGACGTGTGGAATCGATCAATTACGATTTTTTGTGAGGCTACTGTGATTGGGATTTTGTATAGGGATCAAGGTTTCTATCTTGGGTACGATTGTTGTTACTCTTGCGATTGCACGACAGAGATGAGGATTTCTTGAATTGGACTAAGAAGAGGTTGCGAATTGCACACCATGGGGGTAGATCTGGTGCGCGAGTGTCAGCGATGCCTTGCCCAGGTGAGTTAAGACTTATGGCAGTATCTCGATCACGTTTTTAGTGCAACAATCAAACCCTAGTGTTTGATGGTAAGAGTGCTTGAAAATTGACTGGGTTACGACGGTCTGCTCGTGACCTCTATACTAGAGAAAGGGAGTAGAGGATTTTAGGCTGTTCCTTGATAAGTTTTGGGTTTTGGAATTCCATCAGGTGGCGGACGAAGTCGAGGGCGGGCTACTGTATGTTGATGAAGGAGCAGGGGAGTCTCTGCATTACATGGGAGGGCTACCCTTTGTGTTGCAGCTGGGTATCAGAGCGATTTGCAGCTTGGAGAATGCTTCCCCCCTTGACGCTGTATGGGAAACGTCTCCTTTCGACATTTCCTAGTCTTCTGTGACATATCAATGATTCTAGTAGGAAATTTCATAATTTGGGTTGCATGGTTAGATGCAGATTCTTTTAATCAAATTCTTCGAGTTGCGATGCTTTGCATGTACTGCTGGTCTCGAAAATTTTACTTGCAATTCTCTAATTCTTCTATATTTCACGATTCTAAACCAGAGGTCAACCTACTTTTGGGTCAACTTGTGGAAATTTTCACGAGCAATAATTTTGCTGTAACCGATACCTACACTTCGAAGTTCAGACCCGAAGCTGTCTTTTCTGCAAATGAAAGGGATTCTTTTGTTTAGTTTGTTTTATTTGTTTCACTCCCATCGTAGCGATATCTATATTTGGAAAGATTGAAAATTGGATTTTCAGCTTGCAGTGAAGCTCGTCAAGGATTCAGTCCCCTTAGGGCTACTAATGCGATGAGCGTGATTGCAGGCAGTTGCATGGCAAGGGGGGCGGTTACTGAAAGTGGTGGTTCTTACTGCACGATTACTCAGCGATGCACACCGGTATGTTTTGCGGTGCCTGCGGTGTCACCCCAATGTCAAAAAGTGCACCATCTTCACCTCTGTTTCACAGGTATCCTTCACGTAGTTTTTTCCAAATTACATCTCTTTCATTTCTCATTTTGCATTGATGCATGATTTTGTATGATATGCACTAGCATTTCTTAATTATTTTAACCTCTATGAATTTAATAGCAAGGATGTTGTGCACAGGAAGGGCATTCGGCATGTCTCGAGACTCCATTGGGGCATAACGCCTACCAAGAATACAGGAGTTTATTGCAACAAGATCTACAATCTTCTGGGAAAAGAGTATCATTAGATGGGAGCTTCGGTTGGTCAGAAAGCAGAGAGATATCGGATGATTTTGAGATCATTATTAGGCATGTACCCTTGTTAATGTGCGCCTTGGCCCCAAATTTATTCGTGCTACCTTCAGGTGGGGCAGAAGCCGAGTCCCCTCTTTCTGATCTCAAGAGTGGTCCATCATTGGGTCCAGGGTTGCCACCCATTGATACGGGCGTGATGTTTGACGTTGATGACAGAGTACCGTCGGGGGCATCCCTCCTTGGCCACTTTCTACACCAACTTACTTCTCAGGTTCAGATCTGCTTTCTCCAGCCTATATGTATTGATTTTGTTTTGATTTTGTTTTGATTTTTGTTTATTTTGTGAGAAATTCTGATTGTAATCAGTGTTTAACATTGTTATTGGATTGCGCAGCTGGATGTAAAAGTGGACGTATTCTCTTTGGGTCCACTCGCTCATCTGGTTGGGAACCTAGTGACAGACTTGTCATCATCAATCGTGTTAGATCACGGTTCGCAACGAAAGTCGGCGGGCCTTTTATTGGTAGATCGGTCACTGGATCTTATCACTCCCACATGTCACAACGATAATTTTATGGATCGTGTTGTATATTCACTTCTTCGCAGGTGCTCATTCTTGGCTGCTCTTCTTCAATGGTTTTGGTTTATGTGTCGGTACTTATTATTTAGTATGGTTGAATTCAAGTATGACCACACGTCTTGTGATTGGACTGAGTTATTAGTGTGCTGTCTTCACATAGGCCTACAGTACTTCCCTCTTCACGCCCTCAAATGACTGGCAACGAGTCTCAACCTTTGGCTCGGAAACCCATGGACTTTCGTGTTCCAACAGTGAGCAGACGAGGTGATGCAAGTAAAATTGCAGAGTTTCCACTTTTGCCACTTATGACTGGGTGGGATCGCAAGGCACAGAAAGACCCTTCACATGGACATGATGACAGTTCTGGTGCTGCGGAGTAAGTTTCTGGACACCTTTTGATCTTCAGTATGACACTGGGGATTTGGGCACTATTTAGCTTATTTGCTTTAGCACATGATATACAATAGCGCTTTAACAGGACGAATCATTAAATACCTATACTACTTACAAACGTTTGTGCATACCAATACTGGCACTTCTGTACTTATCCGACCTGATTAACTGAGGGCTTTGGCGGATTTGGTTTACGTATTTCAAATCTAGTAATTTTGGGTATAATGCTTGATTGACAGAGATGACATAGGGCAGATGATGGGTGGATCACTTGCAATTTCATGGGATCGTCTCGGGTTGTTCAGTCTAGAAAACATGTTGGACAAATCCACTAAAGACGCTACCCTCATGATAAGGAAGTGGTTTCACGAAGCTCTGAGACAAGAGAAGCAGCCGGTGCCTGTAAGGGCTCGTTTAGGTGCTATGACCCCTGGAGAACTTGCTTCGCTGCAGGCAGCGTTGTCAGCTAAGCCAGATATGACAATCCGCCATGTGGATCTTCTACAGGTGAACTTTTCTACTTGCTCTGATAGAATCTCTCCTAGATTCATGTTGGCTTGTTTATATACTTTATTGATACAATTGTTCATTCCCATACTTTCCAGGTCAGTTGGTCAGATTTTTGTCACTTTCGTTGGTTGAGTGTCAGTGTGTGCTATGTGCAATCTTCACAAACTTTAGCATTAAGTGAATTCAGGAAATGAGATTGCGTTTAATCCTGAGAAAAATGCAATATGCATGGGCCATCCTAATCATTGTCTATTCAGGTGGCTAGGGCAATGGAGGAAGTTCTGAGTGGGGATAAGCGGTCGAAATGGGAAGCCGTCAGCAGTGCAGAGAAAATTTTAAGACTGAGTGTTAATGATGGAAGTCAAAGCATTGCTCTTCAACTTAGTGATATGGTGCAACAGATTTCTCATGATGGTATGCTAGATCTAAGCGATGTGCTTACTTTAGCCATTGTTGGGTATGCTCTTGCTGGCGAGGCGAGTCCCAAGGGGCTCTCAAGTGGTCCGTTTGCATGGCAAGAAGAGGCAGTTCTGACAGAATCCCTTGTAGATGCTGTAATGAAAGGCCGCTCTGATCTTGGGTTTTCCGAGCGTCTGAAAAGGGCACTCGATGCTCACTGGAAAAAATCTGAGGGCAATTTCACACAAGGTGGAGTTGAAGAGAAAAATGCTGAAAAGTTGACTACCAATGACGACGATGGCTGGGGGGAGTGGGAGGGTTTAGAAGAAGATATTGACGATGGAGATTATGGAGAGACTCAATTGAAGTTGGAGATAAGGGACCGCCTACAAGAAGTTATGTCTGTTCTACACTGTGTATCACGAGCTCGGGCACGACTTCCTGTTGCTTTACGCTCTACTGAGGAGCAAGTTTTCCCTACGGGACTATTACAGCAGGTGTTTTCATTGATATTCGCAAAAGCTGATGTTCCGGGACTGCACCATCACTCATCAAGTGTTGGTAATTTTTTTAAGAGTGGCCTTGGGAGATTTGGCCTTGGTCAGGTTGGTCACCATTCACCCTCTATATAATGAACCGCTATAGCTGATTACGATTCAATGGGCAGTTTGTCATTCTATTTCATTTTTGTAGATTATGTCCTGAGAGACTCGTAACAAGCTGAATTGTATCCCGTCGTAAGAAGAGACTTGGTATTGTCTCCATTTTATGGCCAGTCTAGGATTGATTGTCGACGGGGTAAATCAATCTATTGACTAAAGCAAGTCTTTGATATCGCGTTGATTTACTTATGACTCATCTTACTTCTGTTTTCAGAGATTACAACAGCCAAAGCTGGGAGATTACAGGACAATCATTGTGTTTGTTGTTGGTGGAATCAGCGGTTCCGAGGTAAGTCTCTGTTCATCTCTAACACTAAGTCATAGGTAGATCATGTCTTCGTTTTCATTGTAGTCTGTCATGAATACGATATGTTTCATCATCTTTGCCTTCTCTTTATGTTTTTTTAATTCCGATTAATGATCATGCACAGATTCGTGAGATTAAGGAAGCTCAAATGGGACACCCAGGGTCAGAGAGTGTAGAGGTTTTGATGGGGGGTACAACATTTTTAACTCCATCAGATATGCGGGATCTTCTTCTGGGTTCACATTCACGATCATAAGCAAATTTATTTCTTTGCATCCCTTTCTTTTGGTTCTCAATGTGCTCTGGGTCACAACAGTTCTCAATGTGGCAGCCCTTGATGTAGAACGTTTGGTTTGCACTGCTTCTGAATGCCGTGAAAATTTATGCTATTGTGCATATGCTGTTTCTGTTTGAAGCTCACTTGTAAATGGAGGTCCGAGTTATCAGGGAGTGAGAAGGAGAAGATTAACGTACTTGGGATGGAACAGGCTCTTAATTGTACTCATGGCGTCCCTTGTCTAGCCAACTTCGTCATTTCTGGACAATTCAGACGCAAATTCTGCGAAAGCAATCGCCGTCACCATCATTATTACCTATATCATCACGATGCTCAAAACGTTTTTGCACCTGGAAACTTGAATTCGATTTTTCTATCCTCCGTCCACTGTAGATTATATGCTAGCCTAATTGACCTGTGCGGGAAGCTTCATTTATAGCATTGAAGACCTTCATTCACAGTGCCCAACTCTATTAACACGCATCTCCTGCCACCAAACGCATTAAAACCTCGATCCTCTCCAGGGAAACTACGATCTCACTCGAGCATGCTACTAACTCTGAAGCTCGATGCAACAGGATTGAAATTAACAATCTCTCTGTCCAGACTGATGCGAATCCCAACTGCTGTGTCATTGTCAAAATCAAATCAATCACTCGCATCATTCACCACGTAAGCACTAGCATTTGGCCTTCAAACTCCCATTGAAATCCACCCTTGCCGAGCATTATCTGTTCCTAACTGCGGAGCTTCCATGCGTGTCCTTCCATGATTAACCAAGATAAGAACTCCTCCCTCCTATTCTCTTGAAAAGTTCTAAAGAACTTTATTATAATCTAGCCTCTCTAGTTCATATTGCAGTAGCAAGCTGGACCAATTTTTACTCAAACAGTTTGCCTAACGGATTTTGCATATTTTATGTTTTGTAAATCCAAAGCATTGCACTTGGTGACGAATAACCAGATCTGCTTATTATTTTTCACATTTCGTGATCCCATTCCCAGGCCACATTTTCAGAAATGAAAAGGACCGTATGATCTGACCTGAGGTAATTTTACATGAAGAAAAGCAACGAAGCTCCTTCGATTTTTATTCAGCATAGTTTGTGAGCTCGCCTGGCAAATTAACCATGATTAGGGCTGGTGCTGATCTGCTTACTTATTTGTTTTTCATAATCTTCCAGCTCTCGGAGGGACGACCAGCAATAATTTTCAGCCGAATGTTCTGACTATTTACCGTTGTAGACTATGAATCCTTCAGAATCCTTCATTGCTGCTGTCCAGTATTCATGTCGTGAAAGAGTGCTTGATAAATTTCCAGCTGGTGCTTGAAGAAATAGATTCATGGTCGGGTGAGAATACTCTTCTATCTATTCTGTGGTAACACTGCTTCCTCTTGATACACTTGTTACTTGATCCTGAGTACCAAAATTTGTAGGATGACACAAACCAACCCATCTTCATTTCAAAGAACCCTTCACGCCCTAGAACTTGATAGGATCAGATGGAGGACAGATGAATTGGCTGCTGAAGGAAAAACTGCTCCCTCAGATGTTCTGCTATTCAAAAGAAAACCTTTCTAATCTTCATAATCTTTAGTTATTCTACTCGAAGAAGAAGAATATTGATGGAGGCACACAAAGCTTGGTGATGGTGCTGAATCTCATTTTACCACGCTCAAGGCGATTTCCCACTAAGTGAAGACCGAATCTTGTCCCTGCAGCGCGTTCTTGCCTAAATGCTTCATCTTCTTCATCTTCGCTTTTATTTTTGCTTTAGTAACCAATGTGGCTATTGTGTTGAAAAAGTTTCCAAAAGCCATGGCGATCAATAACAACCCGCACACAACCATCTCCATGCATAAACAAAAGAGAAAATCAGAACATAAGCGGTGCCAGGAGAACAGCCTACGTCTTTCGTAATTCTCAGAACGGTACATCTAGATCCTACACAATTTATCAGCCATAGCAAAAAATGCGTTTTTCTTGATGTAAGACTAAAATAAAGTGTTGCACCAGGATAGAATTGTTTCACAAAATCACAAGATATAAAAATAAAACAATAAGAATCAAAAACACAAAAAAAAGGAAAAAAAAGAGCATGCCTGCCACTCGCAATTATCTTCAACAATGGCTGTCTGCAAGAGAAGGGCTCCAATGTAACATTGAAACGCCTGCAGTGAAGAGAAAACCCACAATTGCGGCAGATCGTTAGGCTTAATAAATGCGAAACACCTGCAGTTAGTATGTCTCCTGTAATCTGATTTTTGAAAATGGGTTCCAAAATGCAATGCCTTCCGGAAAAAACGAAAAGCAGAAGATGCACAGAAGTGGACCTGCAGAGTGAAGAGAACAGGATACAGGATCCAGAGCTGGCCCTTCACACCTGATGTCTCTCCCCAGACTACATCCATCCTCCCAGCCTGCTCACGCGCAACAATAACTTGGCATGGCTATTAAAGGAGAAACCCGGTCATGCAGTTCTACTTGAGAAGAGTTGAGTCGATCTATCCCATCACTTGCGGATTTGTAACACTTCCCAGAGGTGCCATTCTAAAAGGTCAACTTAGGTTCGACACTTGTTGGATTTTCTGCCATACAAAAATTATCATATCATTGGTGTGACCGAGGACTAAACCCACGAATATTGGGTCAAGTTGGTGTAGGAAACTTCGAACAGGTGCAAAGCGTCACCTGTACGTAAGTGGATGTATAATTCGGATGTTGTCACTGCCTACCGACACTTTGAAGCGGGTTGAAAAGCGTCGACGTGAACTAATTGAAACGTCGCCGGCGGATAGAAATGGGCTCATATTCTCTAGGAGCAATCACATACCAATCTGTCTCAGTTGTGGCATACCTTGCCGAGGGCAATCCTTGTGTAGAGCCGTTTACGCTGATAACAATTCTGGAGTAGCATCGCCACACCTTGCATCACTGCCCATTGAAGGAACAACTCCACTCCATGCTGAATACACTCGGACCACTAATTTGTCAGGTTCCACAACTTGTTTTAAAATGAGAAAAACACACGAACACATATAATAAGACTCGGTAAAGCATTCTGACTCCCTTTGTATTAGAGTATTACTACCACTTGATTAGATCAGCTAAAGAAAGATGGACGACGTTGCTAAAGGTACCTGCTTGCGAGAGCAATCACGATGGCTTTGTATGCCCCACGTAAGACCCACCAGCGCCATCGCCATTGCTAAGTAATGGTGATAGACCCACCTGCCATGTCGAACAATGGCATCCATCAAACTGGTTTACGTGAATAGTTACTGAGTTGATAGGCAATGCACAGAATTATCAGTGAACGAAACTATTGCTAACGATGAACCCTAGCGGACGGACGATACCATAAGGGAATACGAAAGCTTAACACGATGTGTAAAAGAACGCAAGGACTGCTAGAACAAGTTCTCCATGAACATCGAGGAATGAGTCAAGAAACAACACCACGCACCACGGTCTTATATCGCTACCATTAACTCTCAGAATGTTCTCTCTCATTGCTAAACTGGTGTAGAAAAACAATAGCCATGCCTGCAACGTCAAAATCATGCAAGCATCAGATGAACTGTAACTTGAGGTGTGACCATGAGTAAAAAACCATTACACGCGAATATACAGATTGAGTTTCTGCCACAAAACTGTGTGAATAGCAAAGCTCAATGTGCAATTCATTACAAAGGGTACAGACCTTGCTCGTCAACTCATGACTCGACCACTTCGAACATCAACTTACCTGGTAAAGCTGAACTGGCAAGGCTTGAAAACATTCGTTCGAGAACTTCTTAAGAGCTAACAAAACGATTGGAAACGCGAGAAAAATGATTGTTGTATTATCCTGGGCAACACGAAAGCATTTTAGTCCCCTTGACATGAAACTACGTGCACAAATCCCATATCTTTCATACATGAAGCAAATACTACTAAAGAATGAGTCACAGTTCTCCGAGGAATGACATGCAACAGAGCATGGAATCTATAACAGTGAGAAGCAAGGGCAACCAACACTAGAGCGTCTCAACACCCCATTCATTCAATCTTAAAAATTAACATTTCTTTCATACTTATGAGCTCCTCACACTTGTGCTAATCAGCTAAAACATGAATTTTTATGGCAACTCAAAAAAAAAATTGTTTAAACTGTTTCATTTAGAAAATGCGGGAAAGGAGGAATGTAACCCTTTCAAGACTCGGTAAGCCAACAAACCCTGTAAGCATTGTACTCCTCTTTCACTTTGTATCGACCATCCTTGCGTGCTGCTCGAACATTGGCTGGACCCAGTAATAATCTGAGGAAAAAACCTGCAAAATTGGAATGTCTCGGAACCAAACAACGTATCGAATGCCAGGAAAGATTTCACCGTTTCACTTTTTGTGCAACTGGCAACTGAAACACCATATGCTTCGTTCTCATCGCCTGAGACATTGTCACAGTCTGGAAATTTTCACAGTTTTCAAATGCTTCTTGCCAAGAGTGCGTGAGATAGATAGTCTTCCCATCGGCTCTAGCTGGAAGAAATGATGCTACATCTCCGTCGTATACCATGGTTCGTACCTTCGACAACTCGTCCACCAACTGCAGAGCCACAACATAGACACATAACCGTGATCAAGCCACTCCAATGGCAGTTGGTCAATACTCTTCTAGAGACTCAACCTGGGCCAACTTCTAACAGGTTGAATTTGGTCCAGCTTGCAAAAACACATCATCCTTGGAGACTCTTGTAGCAATGACCATAGGAATACAACTTTATGGTTTAGGATTTGCAGATATAGACTCTATGGAATTATGTCGTGCATGCGTTCAAGGTAAAATGATTACTCTACCTTCAATTTGGAAAATCCCATAAGAATTACCACCAATTCTTGAAAGATTGCATGGTGATATTTGTGGTCCTATTAATCCAATATAGGGACCATGTTGTTATTTTTTGGTCCTTGTTGATGCATAAGGTAAACAATCACATGTTTCATTATTATCAACTCAAAACATGGTGTTTGCCAATCTTATATCTATGCTTATTTGTTTTTGAACACATTTTCCTGATTATCCTATAAAAACATTGTGTATGCATAATACAAAAGAATTTGCATCAAAGTCTTTTGAAGACTATTGTACTGCAACAAGAATTGAGTTGACATATTGTATTCCATATGAACATGTTCAAAATGGACTTTCAAAGTCATTTATAAAGCATATACAACTCATTACTCAGCCACTCTTCTTTCATGCAAATTTACTTGCATCTATGTGGGATCATGCAGTTTTATATGCTGCAGTATTAATACACCTCCGTCCTTCTTCTCTTAAAATTATTTCACCACATGAGCTTATTTCGAGTCGTGTTCTAAATGTATCTCACTTACGAGTATTTGGTTGCCGTGCTTGAATTCCAGTACCAAAACCTCAACGGCGTACCATTTGAGCTCATTGATAAGAAGGCATATATGTTGGTTTTGATTCACCAAGCATTATTCGTATTGTTGATCCATCAATTGGCACATTATTACGTGCATGTTTGCAAAATTACTGTTTTGAAGAAAATGTATTTCCATCGCTTCAAGGAGGAGTATCCAATCAACAAAGAAATAAAATATTCATATTTGAAGTACTAGAAACATTTACAATGAATCTTGTTCCTATGACATCTTTGGTTGAAACTGAAGTTGCTAAGATTTTGCATCTAAAATAGATTGGAGATGAAATACTTGATGGCTTTAATGATGCATCTAGAATTACCAGAGTTCCTATTAATGAGGCTCAAAATGCACCTGCTTAGATTGTAGTGCCATTGACTACAATACCTCAAGTTATAATAACAACTAAAAGAACTCGTGGACCAGATAAACAACCACGTAAGAAAAAAGCTATAATATTAACTAATTTTGGTATTATTTTTTAAGAAATTTCCACTCATCTTGTGGGACTACCAATTCATGATGATATATCGATGCATAATGTACATTCAATTCTTGTGAAAAATAATCTTGGAATTGGAAGGAATAAAAACAAGTTGAGTAAAGAATTATCTATTTTGTATTGTGCTACAGATGATATTTGGGACAGACCATCTATTACGGTAGATAAATCATTTGTATGTATGATTATAGAAGCCCTTTTTTGCAAAGAAGACGATCCTAAATCTCAAACCATCGAGGAGGTGATGCATCCCTCTAATTGGTCAAAATTAAAAACTACTATTTAGGAGGAGTATGCTTCTTTGTGTAAGAGGAAAGTCTTTGGTCTAATTATAGACACTCTTACATCTCGCCTTATGGAATATAAGATGGTATTAATATGCAAGTGAGATGCTCAAGGTCAAATAACCCACTATAAAGCTCGTCTTGTTGTTCAAGGATTTATTCAACGATTAGACATTGATTATAAATCCACATATTCTCTAGTCATGGATTCAATTACATTTGGATATATTATTGGAATGACAGTTCATGCCACCCTTGAGGTACATCTGATGGATGTAATAATTGCATATCTATATGGTTCTCTTAATGCAAATATTTATATGAAAGTTCCACTTGGCTTAGAAACAGGAACTCCAAATAGAGCCGCTCCAAGACAATATTGTGGTATTAAATTATATAAGGCCTTGTATGGTTTAAAACAATCCGGACGCATGTGGTATCAACATCTTTGAGATAATTTAATTACAAATAAGTTTGTAAGTGATCTACTAATCCCTTATTTGTATATCAAACAAGATAAAACTAGTTTTGTGATCATCACTGTATATGTTGATGATCTTAACCTAATGGGCACTATATCTGCATATGTTACAGCTATTAACGTACTTATATGTGAATTTGAGATGAAAATGCTAGAAAAAACATCTTTCTGCATTGATTTTCAGATTATGCATCTAATAGATGATAGCATTTTTCTCTACTAACTAACGTATATTAGACGAATCTTATAAAGATTTAATGTGATTGATGCTTATTCATTGTCCACACCAATGATTGGACGTGGTCGTGATCGTCATGATTCATACCATCCATGCGAGGAGGAGGAAATATTAGAAGATCAATATCCATACCTTGTAGCGGTTGGAGCTTTTTTATATTTAGTTACATCTACAAGACTAGATATTGCATTTGTGGTTAGTGTTCTTGCAAGACATAGTGTACGTCCAACACTACGACATTGGAATGGCATCAAATATTTATTACATTATTTAAAAGGTACTGAAGACTTGAGATTATACTACCCACAATCTGTAGATCCAAAATTGGTTGGATATTATGATGCAGGATATAAATTTGATATTGCAACAACTAAATCTCAAATAGGATATGTATTTTTAAGACATGAAGCTGCAATATCATGGAAATTAGTGAAACAAACAATAACTGGAACTTCATCCAACCATGCAGAAATTATTGCCTTATATAAAGCATCTCGAGAATGTATTTGGTTGCGATCAATTGTTAAATTCATTCAAACAATCTATGGATTTTCATATGATGATTCTCTAACTATCTTGCATGAAGATAATAGTGCTTGTATTGCACAGATGCAAGTTGGTTTCATTAAAGGCAATATAACAAAGCATATTGATTCAAAGCATTTTAGTTATACCCATGACTTGATTATTGATCAAGCACTTATAATTAAGAAAATTGAATCTACAAATAACCTTGCTAATCTCTTCACCAAAGCTCTTCCATTGTGCAACCATTATCGACTTATTTATGGCATTGGTATGCGATGCCTTGCTTTTCTTGAATAAGAAAGTTAATAAGCTCTTTAAATGATTAAAGAAAATGATGTTATACTCTTTTCCCTTCATCTATGGTTTTGTCCTTAAATACAATAAGGTTTTCTTAAATAAAGTTTTAATGAGGCAACAATTGTTGATCTTGCAAGATCACAAAAAAGTGTAGATCATAATTCTATGCAAATTTCATATTATGTAAATATTATAATGAGCGAGGAGGAGTGTTGAGAGCATTAAATATAACCAATGCTCTCCATAATATTTATTGTAGACTACAATAAATACAATAGCTACAATATTTAGAATCTAGTGGAGAAGAACTGTTTATCCTCTCCCCTCTCTCTTCTTGTATATGAGACACAATCAGATCAATAGATTTTTAAGTGTGAAACTCTCTCTCCTTAAAAACCCTCTTGTGTGTATTACTTACTAGTACTCTTGTGTCTTTCTAAAGATTCTCAACAGTTAGAATAGCATTACACAAATCAGTGGAAATGTTCCGGATATTGGGAGAAGGCTCGGCTGTGATGAAGCAGTTTTAAGTCAGCGGATGTATCAAAGTCACACCGCAGGCCCTAAAGAGACCTTAATGCTAAACTTGCTGCTGCCACTTGCTCCAAAGCTTAACCTTTCAGACCGTCCATGTATACACACCAATGACATTATCCTGGCGCTTACCTACGCTTTGCTTCAAGAAATCAGCTTCTATGCATTTAGTGTGGCGTCTGGACTCTGTAAAATCTGTCCCGCACACTGCATCATTAATTGTAGACCACTGTAAAAACAAACCTCACACTTCATGTTGAGAGTACAACTCACGATTCTTGCCACCGATCCGTGAAGAGCGCTTAGAAGCGCTGGATTCACAGTAATAGACGGACTGTCTAGTCCTCGCGGCCGATGTGTCCTTCGAGCCAGCCCACTTCCAGCTATGCTAACCAAAATGATTTTAGAATGAGTATCTTAATGTGTAACCCAAAAATAACCTTCTTCTGTTTCAGAATTGCTCATATTCTGGTGAATTGAACATGTCCTTTCCGACGAAACGCTCCAGTAACGAGTGCAACTGTTTTTGATCAAGAGGCTGCCATAGACAATTTGTTTTTTTTGATCAGCCTGTTCTTCAATAAAATCGGTTATCGCATCGAATGATCACTTAGATGCTAACGGTGCAAAAGTTCATTCAAACACATAGCTATTAACTGATGGGGATTCAATATCGAAGTCCGAGGAAAAAAGACAAGGATAATGAACATACTTTGGTAAGATAGTCGTCCATTCCTGAGTTAATGCATTCTGTATGAGTTCCTTTCAAAACATCTGCTGTTACGGCAACAATGGGGAGACGATGATGTCGACACCACGATATATTCTTGGTTCGGCAAATGAAGCAATTCTCAACCTCCCAATTGCGTATTCGACGTGTTGCTTCCCAGCCATCCATCTATCGAAACCAATCGCCATGTCAGATGATAAGGGTGTAGGAAAGAAAATATCAGCTTTCGTGACATTCTCAATTCAAGTGTTATGTGGGTAATAAGTAACAGAGGGCACCTTCAGGTTGATAGATTTTACCTCAGGCATTTGAATGTCCATCACTATAAGATCCAACTTCTCATCTTCTTTTCGGTTTTTGACTGCATCAACAGCTTCAGCTCCACCGTTCACGCTTGAAACAATTGCACCATACTTTTTCAGCATTGAGGTTGCTACTCTTCGATTCACCATGTTGTCATCCACCTGGAATACAGGGCACATTAGTTCGGACGTTGACAGTTGTAGTAACAATTAATGTTAGCCTATGAATGCGGAGTTGCAGTTGCCTATAGGTGTGAAATTAATTAACAAGTTTCATTGATCAGGAAATACTTACCACAAGGATCCTCTTGTCGCTCAGCAATTTGGAGTCGTCGACCTTAACAGCCCTCTTCGTGGCTGGAGTGGGAGTTAAATTCATTGCCTCTAGCAACACACAAGCCAGTGAGGAGTGTCGGAGAGGCTTCTTCACCATGTAGGAGACTCCAGCATCCCTTAATTCTTTCTCGATCAAAGGAGGCAGAGCCAGTGAAAGACCCAGTACAGGCAAGGCCTTAAAACTTGGCATGTTGCGCACTGTACTCGTTAAATCTGCAATGGATGCCAGAGATAACCCCTCAAGGTCCACAAGAATAGCTTGCAGTGAAGTTCCTTTGATCCTTCAAAAAAACGAAAAAAATAAAATAAACAACAACAACAATATTGTAAATTAAGATCATTCACGCACCAAAAAGACAAAAATCAAAAAAGATTTGAGCATTATTTACCTGAGTAGCTCCAAAGTGGACTCCATGTCTTCGACAAGATCAACATATATGTCTAAACACTGAAGGTAGTTGGCTGTTACTTCCTGCACCATAGAATCGTATGTAAGTTGTCTCCAATATCATGCAATAGTAAATAATCGTAGGTAAGCAGTCACAGTGCCAGAAGATTCCCCTGAGGTTATAATCCGACATTGATTCAGACGATAGTATGAGAATAACATGCCTGTCGAACGAGGTTGTTGTCTACAAGAACAACATGCATTCCGCTGAGTCTCTTGTCTCCAGCTGGAAACTTTGAGCAACATGGCTTGCCCTCTAGAGCGTCGTGAAATTTTACAGGAAGAAAAAACTCAAATACACTTCCTACCCCAACATTGCTTGTCACCGTGATTTCGCCATTCATTAGTTTTACCAATTTCTGCAAGACATGGTGCCAATGCCCATCAGTCAGCAGTAACTAATGTTATATGACGTGGAGAAATAGCAAAACTGAAAAAGGACTATTATTCTGGGACCTTGAGAAAACTACGGACTACCTCTCTAGTGCACGGCCTCTCCGTTGTAATGAAGGTAACAAGACTTGCACCATGTTTTTAAAATAAAAAAGTTAAGATCTTTTAAATTTTTATCGATTACTTTTAAATTTATGTTTTTATGGTAAATAAATTAACGAACTCAATGTAGGAAATTAGAATCACCTCACATATAGACAAGCCAATGCCAGTGCCCCCATGCTCCCTTGAGGTGCTGCTATTGGCTTGAGAAAAAGGTTGAAACAAACGCTTCTCCAAGTGTTGCGGGATGCCAATACCTGGACATTGGTATCAATGTAAATTAGAGAAATGCATAGGAATAACAGCATGTCCATTGCTCAAAAAAAAAGGGGGGGGGGGGAGCCAAGAGATAAAAAATTCACTTTCACTCGAACGGAAAGAGATGACACCTGTATCTTCCACGGAGGCAATTATGGTAAAATGACTTGGAGGCTTGCAGTTCAGGGCCGATGTCTTCAAGTTCCATTTCCTCCATGACTCAACTGCTTCCCTACTGTTAAACTCAGTTCCAGGTTGAATACTCAACCTTGGGGCAGTACTGCCTCCTCTCAGTCTCAGTCCTTCAAGTTCAACTTCTGAAAGGGTCTCCGTGATAAGCCCCTGCGAAGAATGTGTGTCTGGAGAGTTCTGGTCAACGTTTATAGCAGTGAAGTCTGAGCTGCTACCTTGGTTCGGATCCATTACACGAACACAAACGAGAATGCTGCCCTCCTTTGTGAACTGGTAAAAAGTGCAAGTTAAAAATCAGAGGTAATCATCAATAAACAGAAACGGAGAGAATATGAAAGCCACTTACCTTTCATTTAATGAGACTCTCTCAAACAGCAACGATAGCTTTTTCAAAACAAGTTATATCTAGTAAGCTCTCTAAATGACCACGAGAAAACCCTAAGATCACGAAACTTTCGTTTAAGATGCATATTAGTAGAAATGCAGGGTTATGCCTTTGGTGATTAGATTATAAAAACATTACACCGTTGAAAGAAAATTGTACCTTCAAGGCGTTGCCAATAAGGTTACCAAGAATCTGACGAAATCTTCCGGGGTCTCCAATTACACAAGTGGGCACTGTATTATGGACGAGCATAGACATCTCAAGCTTCTTCTGCTGTACTGTCTCGTCAAAGAGATGAAACACGCAATCTACCTCTTTGCGGATATTGAAAGGGACAGCCTCGAGCTCCATTCTACCTGCCTCAATCTTGGACAAGTCCAAGACATCATTGATGAGAGCACTGCCATCACATCAAGAAATCACAAGTCATCAAAGAGAACTCTGACAAAATCAGCTTTCGCGCAGATAGCTTCGGAGAGGGCGACCAAAGCTTTCGATCGATCAGAAACGCAGGTGAGACTCCATGACAATCTCTAGTAGCCGAGAAACCGAAACGAAAAATGTAAGACGAATCAAAACCTCCGAGGGAATTAAGTGAGTAACTGCAATTGTATCCATAGAAAAAATGAAAAACAATGCAAGAAAAGTTGCAAGGGATACGAACTTACATAAGAGCATTCCCACTCGCTTGTGCAATCTTTACATATTCAAGCTGCTGGTCAGTCAAATCGGTTCCCATTAGTAAATTTGTCATTCCTGCATAAATTCAGAACATAATACACGGAGTTAGAATAATCAATTGAAGTCATTTCGATGTTGCCTTAAAAACAGCGATTGAGATAGAATCTGTAAATGTTCATTTTGGTTACTGTTGCATAAAACCAGACGACCATTCGACAACATAGTGTCGAGCAAAGCGTCACAGGATGATACTCCATCAGAATCCTATCCTGGAAAAAGCTGCAGAAGATTACCACAAAAATAGACCGAAAACTTTTTCAAGGTATAAGCATCCCAACATCCGTTTAAATGTTAGTGGAGCATGTTCTAGAAGAGATCTGCACAATTAACCTAGTTATCGCATTGACCGGAAAGAAGCCCTTAGAATTGTAATATATGTATACTTGAATATATCGGGAGACTGTAAGACAACGCGTTGGACAGATATCAGAGCAAGAAAAGCCGGGATAGAACATACCAATCACTCCATTCATGGGAGTCCTGCAATACAAGGTCACAGGGAACACCGCTAAGAGGAATATAAAGCTCTCATGGAACACCTCAAAGATATGTTTGTTTTAGTGCTAACTCAAAAAAATCAAAAATTGCGAAGATGGTTGTAAAGTTCTTCACTACATTGAGCGGCAGCAGAGCACAAACCTGATTTCATGAGAGACTGTTGCCAGAAAATTCGACTTCGCCTTATCGGCAGCTTCAGCAGCCACCTTGGCTACCTTAAGATCTTCGTCCATCTTTTCCATAACAGCAACATCCTTTTCAATGGCTTGCATCCGCTTCAGCACCAGACACACAATGATGAAGCAGAAAATGACCACCAAAGACATGAGGAGGGGCCATGCAATGATAGCCCGTAGAGCCAACAGCGTCAAGTTTTGCTTGGGAAAACATCGCACTGAGAAGCTTTGTGTCCCATAATCCCACAATGCAACAGCCTTGGAAACTTCATGCGCTCGACGGGCTGGATCAAACAGAACAACTGTACAATCCGAAGCTGAAGCAGAGCAATTGTAATACGAGTATAAACCTGACATGGGATTCACGACAAAGACAGCGACGACGTCCATGTCGACATCGTCTGTGAACCTGAAAAATGGGAGGACACATCATGAAGATAGTGCAGGTGGATGAAGTCTAGACAGAAACAATAAAAATAAAATAAAAAATAAGAAGTAGAATTTTCGATAGAAATGAGGAAATCCTAGTATAGGAGTTCACAGCTTACTGAAAAAGAACCCTATGGAAAAGCTCAGTGACGTTCATCACTGTTCCCACATAGCCCTTGCACGCCTGTCTTCGTTCAGCGACGCTCGAGAAGTTGGTTAAATCTCGACCTCGGCCATAATAGGCAAGATATGCTCCCATCTGCCACGAATTTTTGGCTCTTGGAGTCACAGGGGAAAGCGTGAAAAGGCCTGTGTCCCGTGCGGCATCTATAGCGCTTCGGTAACGAGGATACGCTCCACTATCTACGAATAAGTAATGTTCATCTTCTGTCTCGAACACGATCGGCGAGTACTCCGTGTCATTGTCGGGGCGACGTATCACTGTGTTTTGTGGGGTAACGTACAGGATGCTGCTGTTCCACTTCCTTTCGAATGCAGCTCGTTCGCTTGCGATTACCCGTTCGACGTAGAGCAGCCTCGTCACATAGGGCCGCAGGAAGAGGGTTCTCCGTGCGTAAGTCATCCATATTTCATTGTTGAGATTTGGCAAGCTTGCTGTCAGCCCTACAATGGCAAAGGAGGCGTTCAAGTTGTTCTCCACCTCTGACTTCAGAACCTGTTACAATTGCCACAATTTAAATTAGCAACTTTAATGTGCATTGCGAAATTTTAATGGTTACATTTAAAACCCGGCACTTTGTTGGTTCCTTGAAAACTGATAAATATTTCAAACATTTTTCCCATTCTCACATCGAAAGAATTTTTTGGACGATGGGGAAGAGGTGGGAACAGAAATTGCAGGCGGTGTAAAGGACCAGCCAGGATTCTTTTCAAATTGTTCGGTGCACCAGTTCGGTAATTGGAAAGCCCACCTCCTTACGGTTCACACACTTAAGTCGAAACTCTTGCTCCATGGATCGCAAGGCATCTTTCCAAAGCAGCGCACCGACACCGCAGGCGAGCATCCAGCCCAGCGCTATGAACAGTACTCGCGCTGTCCAATGTCGGAAGCAGGAATTCGGCTTCCTATACAAAACCCATCGCAAGGAAGATACATCAGCACCCTCCATTCCTCCTGGTCCTCGTGCTTCAGGTCCACTTGAACTGAAGCCAAACCTCTCTCTCCCAGTCGCATGCTTGCAACGAAGTCATCGTTCTCAACCGACAATCCCACGAACCCAACACCTCCCTCGAATTATCCCTGCGTCCATCCAGAGCTACAAACCAAACGTCTCACTGCACCTGCACCCTAACTTTCTCATGCAGAAGCTTCGACTCCTGCATCCTCTCTCTCAAGCTTCCAACTTGCCTCACCTAGCCCCGCCTTCCATGGAGATCTCGTCCAGACCAGGAAGATCCATGGAACCCAACAAAAGCTCAAATACCTTCCTAAAATTCTTTCAAAAAGACTGAAAATGGCTGACGATCAATCATAACGAAATTTCCATTTAACGACTCGACTTATGGTGAGTGTCCCGAATTTGCTCCACGTACACACTGAAACTGGGCCCACAAAGATGAAAAAGCACACGTAAAATACCGTCAATCTGACGACATCTGTAGCACCTCTGAGCTAGGAAGCAACTTGCATTCAATTCCATTCCAATGTAATTACTACTATTTTACACCACATACCTGGGTACCAATTGGCGGGCCGAAATCTCCTCCTCCGCAGCACCAGTCATGACGCAAACAATTTTTGGAGACTGGCGTCGCATAAGTCTCATCATGTGCGCTTTGTGGATCACTCATCCTCACCGCATCTTCAGAATCTTCGGGTCAGAACACTGTCTCTACAAATCGGCATGTACTTCGCATGAGGCAATGCCGGCGATTCAAAAGTGAGAGCGCAGCTCAATGGCAGTCAGGGGCGTACTTTAGCAATCACAGTCACTCCTCTTCCTCAACTATAGCTACTTTCAGTACCTTCCTTACCCACTCACAATCCTCCTCCTCCTCCTCTCACGTCTACGCAGCCTCAATGCTGCTCTCGTGCCCATTTGCACGCCATGTCTGTTTCTGGGTTTGCTGCTGCGATCGGGCTCTGCAACCACACGCCAAAGTTTTGAACCATTGCAAAGATATTCAGTCTCGATTGAACCAGTTCTGGCTTATGGGTAGCTCGATTGCAGCATCACAATCCATGAAATAGTGCTTGTTTTGGACATGGTCAGGCCGTTCTAACATAGGATAAGTAGGACAATATCTTACATTAAAAGTGTTTGCTGATGATGAAGGTAGTGTAACTTAGATTTTGAGGTTTTTGAAGGGAACTATTTATATTGTATAAATTCAAGATATAACCATTGCTTAAAAAAACTATTTATATTGTATAAATCAAATAATAATTCTTTAAAACTTATATTCCAAATTCCAAATTCCAAGTTTTCAAACCTTCCTTACTAAGTAGGCTAAGATTGAGTTTGACCTTGAAAACTAGCCATCTCAATTCACTATTAATAAGGTCCTTTAGAAATACAATAAGTATGAAAGCAATAGATAATAACTAGCTTTAGGCAAAACAATTGCAAAAAGTTAACTATTTAAAAGTTGAAGAAGCTTTTATTATGTGGTCTTGTACTAATATATTGAAAACATTTTGTTTTCCTCAAAACTTATCAAAGAGCGTGGTTAACATTTTGCTAAACTTCTTGCCATTTAAAAAAGCACCATCAAGAATTAAGCTACAAACATATCCTAAATTGCTATATACACATGTCATATTGATATATGTACACCCACAAAATTGGAGGCTTTTTTATTGGCTAAATGTTGTTATGTGGATCGTACTACTTGATAAAACTATATGGATGTTAAAGATAAGTCAATAGCCTCCTTTTCTCCTCTTCTTCCTTCAATTGTTCAACTGACTAGTAAATTAGTAGTGTCAAGAAGCAACAACTTTTAAGAGGGATATCTAGGAGCAAAGTCCTTAGAAAAAAAATCAAATTTGTATTTTGTCTTAGTAGTTTTTTTTGTTGAATTTTAACAATTACCATATGCATTGTATTGCAAATTAGAAGTTGGTGATTTTAATGTGTCTAAAAGACAAAAGAGCACAAGAGGCAACAAAAATTAGAAGGAAACATGTTTGTGTTAAAAAATCTATTGCAAAATCTTTAAAAGAGAAGTCTATCTTTTAAGTAACAAAGTCAAAGAAGTATAATATTACATAACCTCAAGTTATTAATAAACATTCCTCTAATATTAAGGTGGCAATTGTTAGTAGCAATACCTCTGTAAGACTTATACAATCCATATAAAAGAATTATTTGGTGTTGCAAAATCAACCATTGAAACACTTGCACAATATTGCTTGTCTAAAGTTCATGTTAAAAGTTCACTAGACTTTTTTAGTAGAAAAAAATAAGTTTTTGAAGAAGTATATAGATTTAGTAGAAAAGAACAAATTTTTTAAATAATTCATGATTTTGTTACTCTAACTTAAAAATATAGGTAAATTTTTAGGTTTCTTTTAAGTACCTTGTACTTATTTATCAACAACATCACTCTTAGGTGTTTGGAGTGTGCTGATTCAATCAAATAATATAATTCATGTAATATCACATCATAGTACATAGAAATAGCAACAAACCTTTTATATAAGCACGTTTCTACAAAATCAATATGCCACTCATTGCCATTACTAATAAAAAAAAAATTAGTTTTAATTTTAAAAAAAAAAAAAAAAAAAAAAAAAAAAAACTTTTAGTTTAGTCTTTTCAAGTCGATTAAAGTCAATCCTTGTGAAATGACATCTATCTAAATACAAAATAATATCATAATGTGTATAATAGCATTAATACTTTATATTATATTTTTATTCTTTCTTTCTTTCTTTCTTTGCAATGTTAATTATCTTTTGTTGCATCAATATTAAAAAAAAAAATAAGAAAAAATTAAAATTAATTTTTTTTTACCTTCTTGTATGTTTAAATTGTGGATACTTGTAATTTCTTTGTTGATGTCAAACATCATTGTATGCATTGCAAGACATTGCAAGTTATTAGCAATGTTTTATATTGATAGTACTTAAATCTTCATGAATCTCTTCTTGTATCAATTCTCTATAAAAAAATGCCTATTTATCTATACCATCTATGGTTCAATATTAGAACATGGTTATTACTATGATATAGTTTGGAATTCTATAAGTATAGACATTTATTGATGTAATCGAATATTATTGATAGTTATTGAAATATGTTCTAACATCTCAAGTAAAGAATTAAAGACATTCTTGACAAGTAGATTTGGAGGTCTTTGAGTAACTCTTCTCATGAATTATACATTTTTTTTGGATTTGATAGAAGAAAGTTTATTATGAAAGAAAAAAAGAAAAAGAAAATAAAAAAGATAAAAAAAAGAGAGTGGAAAAGAGAGTTGGCACAAAATTCAAATTCAAATGCAATACAAATATTTTTAATTGCTCATTTTGAGACTTTTTTGGCAACTTGAACAATAATTTTACACTGTCAAATATAAAGGACAATGGTCAAAACTTAAAAACTAATCCTACAGCATGAGATCAATTAAGATAATTATATAACAAAGAGATTGTATATGTGGATGTATCACAAATATACATATTTTTTCCATAAATTACTTATATAATTAAATAGAAGTATATAAAAATAAATCAATTTTATAATATCTTATAAGAAAGTTTTTTAGAAGCTATATAGATGTTGATTTGACTTTAAATGTGTTTGTAATCAATTGATAGCCTAAAAACTTGGTCAAAAAGTTAGTCATATATCACTTACATTAATAGCTTGTGGAACAAGCTTATTATATGGCGCACATATAGATAACTTGTTTTGTAAGTTAAGACATGTGTCTAACAAAGTCAACACATGTTAGAAGTCCTATAACATATTGCTATGTAGTTTTTAATTAGAGAGTACATACGAAGGAAAGAGTGAAGCCTTCTTCACTCTTGTCAACATCTTTTTAGTCTCTAGTTTTGTTTCAAGACTTTTTAGTCTTCTAATCTTTAACAATAGTCATTCCAGTTTAATCTATTAACATTTTTGAATGATTTTTTAATTTTTTTGAGTGACAAAAGAGTATATTGAAGATTTCTTTTTTCAAAATTCATATCATTAAAAATTTGTTAAAAGTACTAATTTATTATTTTTATCTTGATTTAGACGTAAATAGATTATCCCACTTGTGTTATTGTATTTTGAAAGTTATAGATTATCTACTTTTAAACAAATAGTTTTTTTTAACATTGATTTTTTTCTTAAAGAAAGTAGATTATTCTTCTTTGTGGAAATTTTCATCTGATAACAGAAGTTGTGGATTATCTTCTAATTTAACTTTTTTAATTTATTTGAATTATCTATGGAAGGAAAGATTATTGATGTTACTCTCAGAAAAAATAAAAATATATTTATAACTATTTTAGATCTTCATAAACTTATCAACATTCTAAGAATAGAAATCTCATGTATTTTTAATATGAATCATGGAGGTACTATTTCTACACATACTGAAGGAATCCAGAGTCTATGCCAAAAAGTTGTACAGTTAAAGAAAAAAAATAGATCAGCTTCATAATTAAATTTAAGAATTCTTGCTTCTATAAGAAAAAAAAAGTCAAGAATTATTATGCTTGAGAAGTTTGATGGAACAAGATCAAAATTTTGAAGATTTTTGCAACAAGTTAAGCTCTATTTAAGATTGCATCCTTCCTAATACATTCATGGATTTACTCAAGTTGAATTCATAGGTGCACTTCTATTAAGAAGTATTCTCTCTTCATTTGTACCTTTGATAGAAAAAGATTCATGATTGTTCTATAATTTGAATTCATTCTTAAAAATAATTATAATTATATTTTAAAAAATAATTAAAAAAAAGGTAGTAGAAATGAAGCTTGTATTGCTATACTAAGGATCACATTTAGCTACCACATATGTTGTTGAATTCCAAAATCTTCCTTGCAATATGGATTGAAATGACAAGGTCCTTATCAAATAGTTTCAATATAGACTAAAAAATAATGTCAAAGATTTATTTTTGAGAATGTCAAGAACAAATTCACTAAAAAAGTTTATTACTCAAGTAATTTTATGCAACAATCGACTCTTTAAAAGCCACCATAAATAAAGATTTGGTTAAAGAGGTACAAATCAAGTCATAGCAATACCTTTTAAGTTTTTGAAAGGATATTTTTTCAAGCCAAAGTCTATGTAAATTGACATAGTATGTATTAAAGCTTTTATTGAAAAAAAAAATACTCATCATTATTAAAAAGGTTTGTACTTATATTATGGAAAATCCAGGCATAGTGCCCAACATTATTCAAAAAAAAAACCGCAATCACAAAATGAGGAGCATGGTTGCCAAAGAAGATAATGTCTCAAAAAATAAATTTTTCTAACTACAATAGAGATTGTGCAATTGAAATCTCACATA